TCAAACTCTTTTAGCTACATGTATGTGATTCTTGTGTAGTATTCTTGATATAATTATATACATATTTGTTTAAGAAAAAAATTTAAGTACAAAAAAAAAGAACACTCTACAACATTGGTATACATTTCCCATTTTCATTCATACCAATTGATAAAAATTTCTCAATTTATGTAATAACAGTATATTACAGTACTATACAGCAGTAAAGGCTTTCATGGAGTATGGCAACCCTATAATGACTGAAATTAATCTCGGTCAACCTCATTTTATCAGTAATTGATACTTAACTCATTTTTTTTTTTTTTTTTTTACATTTTTGTCACAGTTTTTGAGAAGTCATTAAGTTCATGTCACAAACAAAGAAAAGAAAATAGGAGTCATTTTCTTATCTAAGAAATTTTACACAAATAACTTATAGTCAAGAGAGCTAGTTACTGAGAAATACATGTGATTGTACTAAAAATACACTTTTAAGATAATTTTAAAATATTAACATGAATTAAGATTTTAAGAAAAACTTTTTCATCATTTATCATTATCAGGGCAAGCTTAATGACTTTTTTAGTAGACGGGCCTCAATTTTCTTTTGTCCTGGGCTAGTGGGCTAATGTTAGTGTCAATTTAAATCCTGTAAAGACAAACCGACACAGGGTCTGTGATCTGAGTACATTTCAAAGGGTGTTAATAATTGAATATTCTTGCCAGACTTGTCAACTCTGGTTCCAAAGTTAAAGCCAAATATATAGAGAAAGGTAGACAAGACAAAAACGTTATGCCCAAGATCTTCAGGGGCATAAAAAATCGCTTCTGCAATTACAGACAATATAGTATAAAAACTGTCTAATCATCCGTTTCACTGTGAATTCTGTTCTTTATTTTCACCCACTTTTCTATTTTCTGTGTTTTTAATATTGTGCTATCCAACACCCTGTCTATTCTGACATACGGTATACAGTGTATGTTGAAATTAGACTGGTTTCACTGTATTACATAAAAAAAGGAGGAACTGACAATTATCTTAGAATCCTGTTTCTTTTTCCTTTCTTCTTAATTTTTGCACACTGAGCTTATAATGCAAAAATATAAATTTTCTTAATCTGTTGTGTCAAAATTCAAAAATTGCTAGTGTATAAAATATCCTGAACTTACAGGTAATTCATTTTGACAAAGAAAATATAAAAAAAAAAATGAAATGTAAAAAGAGATTTTGAAAAGAAATACTTGTGCTGTTGTAATTATGTATTTGTAAAAAAAAAAAAAAAGTTACCAAATTAATTTTTCTCTTTCAATTAGTTGTTATTAATTTTTTTTTTGTTGTTGTAAATTTCATTAAAAAGACCTACCTTTTAATGATCATTAATATCCCCACATTGTTCTTAAGATGGTGTAGAAATCTATGTTGTATACAAGCAAGTAAATAGTTCCTTGGTGTAAATAATTGATGTACAGGTAAATCACACAGGTACCAATGGACAGCCTCAATCTTCTAGTCAGTCCTGAATAATTAAAACCAGCCTGAAAATGATGCATGAACTCTTTGTTCCTCCTGACATTGATTTGGGGCAAAACATACATAAAAAAAAGATGTTTTATTAAGAAATACAATATTCTTTTTATTAATTTTCATTCCTTTACAATGAAATGACATTGCAAGTAGCTCAAGATTTAATAATTCAAATAAACTTACCTGAGAGTTGTCTTTTCCAAATTCTGAATTTTCATCAAGAAAAATTTAAAAAAAATCTTGTTTTAAAGAAGTTATAGTATCCTCACTAAGACAGCTTCTGCAGAAGTATAGAAACTTTTCCTTCACACTTCAGTTTCTGCTTTTTTCACTTTTCCATTTACCGGTACTAGCTGTTATCTTCATCATCAATCAAAAACGATGAAAGTTTCAATATTCCAACTTACGTAATTACATGTAGATCCTTGGAAATTTACTATGTCAGTTCTACATGACTGATTGTAGCCATGCATTATTGATTCTGAGGTGCTTAACTCATTCCCTATTGTGCCCGACCCCATTCAATAGCATAGGTGTGGATCAATCTGTTCACATCTGTCTCCTCTAATCAATTTCATATGTCTCACAAAACCCCTTTCTTATAAAGAGGAACTTAAACATTTAATAATGACACAGGATATTTGCACACTTATGTCAACTACAGTGGATTTCTACCATTTTATATTTTTCTAGCCAAGATTTATTTGAGGGAAGATTTCAGCATGATGAACTCATAGGTCATGCCAAATTCTTTCCATACAATAGGTTCAGTGCGACATTTCTACTTTATAAATTATAGTCTGTAATGTCATTTTACTCTGCTGTAATTTGTCATGATATAAAATACATAATGTGTAACAGCATGCAGTTTTTAACCTTTGAGTAAACATTAGAAATACAATAAATACACAACAGCTAGCTATAATATTTGACATTAACAACCCCAGTATAAATGATTTCAATGGCACTTAATTATTTTTAAAATATTCCTGAAAGGATAATACTAGTATATTGTAGATAAGTCCATATTTTATGCTGTAAACCTCAACATCATCTTAATATATGATTGAATTTAAACCACAATTCACAATTATTGTTGAAGCTTTTGTGAAATTACTAATTTTTTTTTTATTGGGAGGGGGGGGGGGGGGGGGAGAAGAGGTTTAGGTCCAGTCCTGGTCCTATATCCATATACGCAGGGGACAAGAATTTCACATTTTAGATAAATGTAGAAGTCTCATGGATCATCAAACTTCAGACAACAGGACAAGAGAAATTTTTGAGTCTTTTTAGTACGATATTAATCAAATCTTCAAATTAACTAACTCAGCATATTAACAACTGGTAAGCCCCATACTAAAGATTCAACACTAGGGGTTAGAATTGCACAACTGTCAAGGGCTAAATGACTCCCCAAAACAAACTAATTCAGAGAATTTGTGTCCCCTGCTTTAGAAAAAAAGAGAGTGGGAGAAATGAAAACTAGAACTGTCCAAAATGGACAAATACCTCCCACTGGGTTTTTCAGAAAAGGTACCAAGTCTCTAAAAATATTTTATGGATCTAGAGGTGTTCAAAATGATGACATTGACAGTCAAAATTTAATTGAAATTTACCTGAAATTTAATGAATGATGAGCTAAGCCAGTATAGCCTAATAAAACATCAAATTAGTATTCATTATATTGTTTTTTTTAATTAGATTGTAAAACTTGATGCATTGTGACCATTTTTCATATTTGTGAGACATGATGCTTTGCAATTTGTGTGTTGAGATTTAAAAAAAAAATGGAAATAAAAATATGATATTAAACAATATCAAATTAGTCTTGATAACTAACCAAATCAATTTTGAAAATAAAAGGCTGACCATCAAGTTACATATGCTATGAATTGCAATTAAAAGAGAGGCCAGTTCTGCTGTCCAATTCCCAAGAGATATACATGTAGATAACACATGCTTGATCAGAGATGTTCTAACAGAAAAGAGAAGACAGCTAGCCTTCCTACACTGAACCCCTCGAGAGCAATGAGTGGACATTTTTTTTTAGGTCTGTCTGTCTGCAGACATGATTTTGTCTGGACATTTTTTTGGAGACTAATGTATGGAGTTTTCTGAAAATTTGTACACTCAATATTCACCATAGAAAGATGTGCGCCTGCTATTCTCATCATGATTTTATAGGTGTTTTTCTTTTTTTGTAGACTTAGTCATTTTGGGTTCATGTAGATATGAGACATTCAATCAAGAAATTGCCAGTTGATACATCTGTAGAAAAATGTGAATTGCAGCTTAAAACCAGGTCATTAACACTTAAAAAATCACCAAGTATTAAAAAAAGTTTCTGGGTAGATAGTCCCTACAAATGTAAGAGTTATATGCAGTAACCTTTAAAAAAAAATGTTTCATCAAAATAACTTCTTTTTTTTTCATTTATACAGCTTTATAATAGACTTTTTAAAAAAAATGTTGTTTTTCACAGTAAGGACATAAATCTGCAATTATATTGTACTAAAAATACAGACTTAACAGTGGCATCATACAGCAGATAGTGTAAATCCATTCAACCTTTGAAAGTAATGAGTGGACATGCATTGAGTTAAAGATTATTTAATGAGTTCAATGTAGGAAGGCTAGCTGTCTTCTCTTTTCTGTTAGAGCATCTCTGATCAAGCATGTGTTATCTATATCCCTTGGAAAAAAAGCTCAAAGGGAACTATAATTATCATATGAAAACCATTTTTTGCAATATATGAATTTCTGACCTTGACCTTTGACTTTTTTGAACTCAAAATCAAAAGGGTTCTTTTAAAGACCATAGGGAGTTGTGTTATTATTGTAAAAAAACTCAAAGAAAATTGAAGTTACAATCTGAAAACTTTTATTTGTAATCTATGAATTTCTGACCTTGACCTTTGACCATCTGACCCTAAAATCAAGAAGGGTCTTTTTTAGGCTATAGGGAGTTGTGATATAAAATTTCATTGCAAAACCTCAAGGGCTTTTTGAAATATTGTCCAGAAAAAAAAAGTATTTCACACAGAGAATGTATGAATTTCTGACCTTTACCTGATCTTTTGACCTCAAAAGTCATCCTTCTTTCATTTTTGTTGCTTTCATGGATATGGAAAGGATTATTTAGCTCAGTGACTGCAATGTAAAAAGACTGGATTTGGATCAATGCTTTGATGCCAACTAGGCAGATGAAGTTTGCTTTGCAATGCATGAACAAATAATCATTCCTGAAAAGTGATTGTATAAACTAACACATAAACATAGGCATACCCAACCCCTACCCCTTTTTTGAAAGTAGTAATGTATTCTAAAGTTGTAACTAGTAAATGCTTGTAGTGAAGGATTGTCAAATGACCTTAATTTTTTGTTGCTTGTCAAAGATTTTGTCACATACAATACTGAGAGACAACACATTTACTTGGCTCAGCCCCCCCCCCCCCCCTTTAATGAATTGTAACAAGCAAATGTACAAAAAAAACTATTAAAAAAGATTCTTTTTATTGTTGCTATCATGCAATATGTAAAACACAAAAATCCTGCTTTTAACAAATACAGACTTTGTGTATATAAACAAGAAATAGAAATGCAACATTGGCTGAACTGAGTTCAGTATGAGGTAACATTGAACACAGTGAAAATCAATGAATTAATCTGCATATATAAGTAATCATGACAACCTTGCATGAAACACAACTTGAATGTATGAACATAAATCTTAATCATGCTGAATATTATTTTAAACATCTGTTGTACATGGAACACAATTCAGTATTGGTACAATCTATAACTTTATACATTTTAGTAACCCTAAACTGTGTTTGACACAATGCTTTTCCCATCACTATGCATTAAATTTATATTTTTTTCACCGCTTGGTATCACATTGAGAACAGATGCTCATGAGCATACAAGTTTCAAATATTTTATCCTAAAATTGAAAATAAATAGAAAACAAGTTTTGTCTTGGTATAGCAGCCTGACACACTGCTAAATGATTGGCACATTACAGAGAAAGCAACAGAGTTCCATGGGTGTTCAGAAGTTATCTGGTTAGAACTCCATACATGAACAAAGGATAGTTACCTCCCCTGGCATTAGTAAAATGAAGTTCCCTGCACAGTCACAAGCTGTATTATTCTGATATTATGTGGAAGTTTTCAATCTCTTTGACCCAACAGCTAAAAATATACAGTATATCACCCTATTATAAATATATACTGTAAATAAGCTTACTGTTTGTGGAATTTTGTGTACACTACCTTAAAAGAGCATGAAAATAACACTTGTAAAATTAATATCTAACTATAAAGCAATAAAAGAAAAAATTAAACTGCTGATTTAATCAGAATGATATTAGGATTTACAAAGTAAATATTCCAAAATAACTCGTACCCAAAGGAAAATCAAAGCTAATTAAATACAAAAGTTTTAAGAGTATTTAAGTACCAAATGAATATCTGAGATATGACTGCTCATGCAATTTTAAAACATTTCATATTTATATATATACATGTATTATACATCTGTATGTGCAATGAACTTTTTAAATTTTGTATACAAAAATTATCTTTCTTTAATGAATTTACCCTGAACTGACCTTTGACATAGCAAACTTCAGCATCCACCCCAAGAGACACAAGATAATCTATCCATAAAATCTGTTTATGTGAGAGTCTATCATTAGGACCTTTCACTTCACATATCTGTAAAAGGGAGATGAAAAAACATGGGTCACAATGCTCACCTTCTCTTCCTGACAAATGAAAATGTACATAAAAATAAACGAAAACTCATTATTGTCACCACATTAAAGTCCATGATTTTAACAATTTGAATTTATAGTTTATTGAGGGTTTTAGCTGAACACGACTTCCCAAAGGAAGAGATTTTTTTGTTCCATGTTCACCATATTTCTCTTTGGTTGCCTCATTTCTCTAGCCCCCATATAAGCCTCTCTGACTTCTTCGCAGTTCAAAGTATTTCGCTGTACAGATCTCACTTGTTCAGATGTATTTTGCATTACCGTTGTTACATGAATCAATAAAATAAAATGTAAACACTAAGACAATGTAAGAAAAACAACATGTCAGCCATGAGTTCCAGCTTTCCAGGTGTGTAATGATTGCAAAGGGTATATATACCCTAGTGCTGATATCAGAAATAAGAAGACTAATATGGCTATATATGAGTCATGTTCAGCTTTAATGTCAACTGTTCAGTTTTAATGTCAACTGAACACTTTGCAGTCATCCTGTTCTTTAGTTGCAGAACTGTAGCTCTCTGCTTGAGTAAATTCGGACAGATAAAGCTACAGATCCAAACATTATAAAAACCTTCGATTTATGCCGCCGCTTTTTTGTCACTCATTTCTGGTATTACATGTGTATTTCTTGTATTTTATGCTTTCCCCTGCTTTAAAAATGGTATCCAATAATTAACCATATATTTTACTCATATTCTCGATACTTTACTTACCTTTCAATTGTCCCAGACAGCCCTTTATGGTTTTTGGAATGTTGGTTCAAAAAAATTCGTATATATATATACATATATAACTACTCTTGTAAATAACTTGGACCCTTTCTAGCCCCTGGGGTCACAATTTAAACAATTTTGAAACTACAGGTATCAAGATGACAAATTGTGGACAAGCTGTTTTTGAGAAGAAGCTTTTTACAGTTTATTTTATAAAGGGTTGTCTTCTATTGATGCCCCAGGCTAACTCAAATGGCCAAACCTGAAAATACACTTTCCTTTAAATAAAATAGTCATTCAAAGATTTTTTTTCCTAATTCTTGAAATTTTTTAATCCCCACTAAATTCCTCATATAAAATTATTTCACTGTAAAAGAGATTCAATCTTCAATTTCACAAACTAGATTCCTCTTCACCAAAGAATACTTTCTGGTAAGTCTGTTCAAAAATTGCCTAGTGGTACTGAAGGAGAAGTTGAAAATATGATAAGTTTACATTTGAAAAACAACAGACAGATGGAAACCAGACATCCTTCCATCAGAAAAGCTCATGTGAGCTTTTGCCTTAGGTGAGCTAAGAATTACTCATTGGAATGACAGAAAATCATACCACTACAGGTACAATTTTTTTAATTCTGAACATTAATCCCATTATTACAATCTATATATGTTTTTAATTAAGTTTAAGAAAAAATATATATCTAAATATACATCTATGTAAGTGAAAGTAATATTTTATCATATATTTCATACATTAAGTGGATTTTGTAATCATAATTTCAGATTGAAGATATAACTTTGTTTAAAAACAAGTCTGTACCAACCTTGAGAGCACCTGTCTGTGGATTCCAAAGAGTGAGGTCGGGAAATCCTGACCGTGTGTGTCGAGGGTTCTTCACAAACCTCTCCAGCATCTGGGATAGTGTTCTTCCTCCCATACAAGATACCAAGCCCTAAAACACATATAAAGTACAGAAATATGTCAATTATTCTTCTTTTTTTACAATTTTGAGTGGCTACTTCATTTTCCTTGCTTTTGTGAGTTAGATCTTACATGAGGCTTCCAGTTTTCAATGATGAATTAAATACATGTTAATTCCTTACCTGTGCATGACCGAGACACAAGAATCTCTCCCAGTTCAGACCAGTACACATCACTCCAAAGTGATTTTCCCACACAGAGGTCATCATAGAATGGAGCTCCTGAAAGTGGAACAAGGGCAAAAATACCATAAAGTAATAATGTACATTTCACTATAAGACCTGATTTATGTTTTTTATTCCCCCCGTATCGAAGATTCGGGAGTATATAGTTTTTGCTCTGTCCGTCCATCTGTCTGTCTGTTTGTCCGCAAAAGCTTTAACACTGCTCATATCTTTTGATTGGTTGGAGCTATGGCTTTCATATTTTACATGTGTATTCCTTGTGACAAGACCTTTCTTTGGGTACCATCAAATTTGACCTTTTGACCTTGACCTTGAAGTTTGACCCAGTTTTTCAAATATTTTCCCAAATGTAACCTTGGCCATAACTTTTGAACAGTTGGTGCTAGGGCTATCAAACTTCACATGTGTAATCCTTGTGACAAGACCTTCCTTTGGATACCAACAACTTTGACCCTTTGACCTTGATTTAGGATTTTGACCTACTTTTGAAAACTTTAACCTTGGTCATAACTTTTTAAACGGTTTTGCTAGGGCTTTCATATTTCACATATGTAATCCTTGTGACAAGACCTTCCATTGGATACCAACAACTTTGACCCTTTGACCTTGACCTTGGAGTTTGACCTACTTTTTGAAATCTTTAACCTTGGCCATAACTTCTGAACAGTTGGTGCTAGGGTTTTCATTCTTCACATGTGTAATCCTTGTGACAAGCCCTTCCTTTAGATACCAACAATTATAGCCCATTGACCTTGACCTTGGAGTTTGACCTACTTTTGAAAAACTTTAACCTTGGTCATATCTTTTAAACGGTTGGTGCTAGGGCTTTCATAATTCACATATGTATTTCTTGTGAGAAGGCATTTCCTTTGGCACCATCAAATTTGACCTTGATTTGATGTTTGACTTACTTTTGAAAAACTTTAACCTTTTCCATGTCTTTTCAATGGTTGCTGCTAGGGCTTTCTTATTTCACAGGTAAATTCCTTGGGACAAGGCCTTACTTTGGGTACCAACATATTTGATTTGCATTTGAGAAAGTTTAACCTTCGTTATAAGTTGCCATACGGGGGCATCAGTGTTTCACAAACACATCTTGTTTTTCTTAGAACTTTCTACATGTACTCAATAAAATACTGAAAAGGAGACCATTTTTTTTTTTTGTAGATATTCCACAATTTCTCAGTGTTTACAATAGGTCAACCTACATGTCACCTATAAAAAATGCCAAAAATATCTAAACCATCTAATATTTCTAAAGCTTCTCCATGACAAAAGTTGGGAAATACATTGGTAAAAAATACCTTATAGATTGAAATAAGACCTTCTTCAGTGATATGACACTGGTAAAACTGTTCAAATGCTTGTATCATTTAATATATACCTGGTTCAAACTTGAAAAAATACAGAAAGCTTGTCATTAATTGTCTAAGCTACAGATTTCTACAAGTTAATCTACAAACCTCTACTTCAGCATTCTTGATTTTCTCCAGCTGCTGGTCAATGGCTGATTGTCGATTTGTGTAAAACTGTGTAGTGTACAAATCTAATGGGTGGGTCTGATAGGTAGAGTGAAATGCATCAGGAACATCCATAAAAAGGATGTCCCAGAAAAATAGGGCAAACAGGTTTGACAATATGGAACCTTCAGCATGTAATCCTAAAATAAAGAATGTAGAATTTAATTCAAAAGTGGCAAATTAGTATAATGGATGACTAAGATGAATTTTTCTTAAATCCCCCTTATTCCTAAGCAATCAACTAGTAATGCATTTCACATGCCGAAGCCCCTTCAATTGTATGACTGATTGCATCAATACCCTCTGGATATCCATTGTTCTTATAATGCTCCATGACAAGTTCCTCCACCCCACAGAATGTCAGCTTGTCTTCATCACCATCTGGGTCTGCCATGATAAACTTGTACCTCATTCCTGGCATGTTATCTGACAGAACAGTGCCTTCAATACATACCTAGAAATGACACACAAGTAAAACATGTTTAAAAATTATTCTTGCCATTTCTTGTTATACATGTACATGTATTTCCATCCAAATTACTTATTATTATTGTTTTTATTCCTTGTACCTCTGGTGTTGCTTTAACACCTTCATCTGGAAGTTTTTTCAACCTGTCCTTAAACTTGGATTTTGGAGCATTACATATTTTCTCTGCTCTCTGGTACAGAGCCAGGCGTCTCCCTGCTGTCACAGATTTATCTCTCAGTCCACTTGCTACTGCCTCCAGAGCCTGTAAAATTTACACCAATATCAATAATCAATATTTACACAGATTACACTATCTAACTTATTCTTAAGTGCACAGGAACTTTGAAGCAATTTATATATTCAAATAAATTTTAAAAAATCCTTTACTGTCATTTTCGGCTGTAATTTTGAATTAAACTTAATCCTATGATTCCTAAGGATTATTTAATATTAAGCAGTTTCAACACCTGAATACGAATCATTTTTATTTGAATTATTTTGTAATCCATATCTGTAACAATGACACCAATTAAAATACCTTTTCTTGGTTTTTAAGATGAGCATCATAATTTAGGGCAAGTCTTTCCCACCAATGCCCCCTGTAATCTGTACAATAAACCTGCTGACTTAGTAATTTCCTCAGCACAGACACTGCCCCTGTGTATTCTTTTCTCCTCTGCAGGAGTTCTACCCCTTGGTTTATGATCCTGGTGTACACACTAAAGGCTGTGAAAGGTCTCAAAAAATGTGGTAAAGTCTTATCATGGCTGAAACAGAAAGCATAACAATAGAATCACTTAGTATTTCCCATTGCACATAAAATATCTGACAAATGTATAATAATGTAGTCCATTCTTCAGGTTCTGAAAATCAGCAATTAAGTAATTGAAAATGTTCACATATTAAAATGTCAATGAATTTACAAAGTAATGTGAATATACCTGTGTTACTTCTTCAAAATTCATCATTAAAATTTATCATTTTATATAGGAAAAATTATCAAATCTCAAATACATTTTCAGGAAATGTGAATAAAAAACACCAATTAAGATAAACTACAATAGTTATCTAGGCATTTGGAAGAAAATGCTGCACCCCATCCCCCCCCCCCCCCCCATCTTAATTTAGTTCTTTCTATTAACTTCAGTTGTAATATATATATACAGTGCATAAAGCATGTGATAACATTTGCAAGATATCACAGATCACTTCCAGTATTGTGCTAATAAACATTAATTGATATCTAACTAAGATAGTTTACATGAAATTCAATTTCTTTAAAAATGTAATTTTGTTTGGTACTTTTATGGAATGCAAATGTCTACTTTTACAAGACCATTTCTAAGACTTCAAAGTACCTTGAATCATATTAAGATGCATGAAATGAAAATTGTTGCACAAAAAAAATTTCAATTTCAAACTTCATTTTAAGACTTATTCAAATAAATAATAAATTTAAGAGTCATTACTACTGGCTAAGGTGAGAATATCCTTAAATTTAGAAAAAAAAAAGTGACATATAGTTGAGGTGTAAGATAAAACTATTTCTGCATATGCAAACTTTTTACGTTTGCAATTTTTTTGTCATTAGAAATAATCTTTTACAATCATCAAATAATTGTAAAAGGGCATACGATTATCCTATTGGAAAAAATCATGATCATAACACATTGTAGAGTCATAATAAACCTATTTCTGGAGAAAGATCAACATCAGTCGACTTGGTTTGGTGATTCTGATCTAAAAAGTGGGGAAAATATTGCTCTGAAATGATTTGACTCGGCAGGAGATAACAGAAATCTGATTATATTTAGCAAACACCCAGTAATGTATATACATGTACTGTAAGCATGATGGTATGGGTGTGATCACGAAAACAAACCATTAAAAACATTATACTATATGAGTTATTGTAATATCATTATAATATAAGTCAATATGAAAAATGGAAAACAATTAGTATACTGTATGGACTTCATCTAAATACTAGTTAAGAAATACTTAATCTCAACAAATATCTATAAGATATCAATTATTTCTGTATTGCATTCCAACATACATGTATTTTTGTTTACATTTTAATCAACTTTTTACATACAACATGAATTTCAGCAAAAGTAAAGCATGCTAAACAAAAACAAAATAAAACAGCGATAACAGATATCTCTAATGATGCTGTAGCTCTACTGGTTTGAACTTACAACAGTGTCAGAAAAGAGTTACATTGGACCTGTAATATTCCTTTTTCGAGTATTTACCATGTTTACAGCTATAAAATAATATATCTTAATGATTTCTGAACTTGTACCAAGTTTTATTGAAATCAGACAATAAGCAGTCTATGCGAAAGACATCGGACCGTCGGACTTGACCGATGTGCAGTGCTTCTTGTCTGATGCGTCATTTTTTACACCGGACCAGAATGTCCGATGTCTCAGCGTCCGGTTTTGAGCTTTACTATTTTGACGCGGCGTCATTCAAATGTTTGTTATAAGTAAAAAAATATCGCAAAAATCCAAATACGTAAATGAATTGATTAAAACCGCATGGACCGTCTACAGTAATAAGATTTCCTAGGTTCTGCATTTTTCACGTATTTCATTTTTTTACATTAGGTTTTTTCGGTCTGACAAAATTTGGTTCGGTCCTGTGTGTTCATTGATTACACAGGACCGAATGTCCTGTGTGGTCCAAAAAATTTTCGCATAGACTGCAATAAGGAGAATATTATGATACAGAGAGGAAGTTCAGATTTTGGTCATACTTAGCTATAGCATTGTCTTTCTTCAGATCTTCTACTCTCTCTTTTGCCTCAAGATATACTGAATATGCAGCTTCAAACTCATTTCTCTCAAGTCTGCTCCATAAGTCAGCTTCCAATAAGCAGGCTTTAGAAAATCTACAAAGGAGTAAGTAATTTTTACAATTTACCTACAGCATATGATCTACATAGGTATATATGTTTACATTTACAAATATACAAGGCCAATACCTCAACACTGATTCTCTGTCTTTAAATATCTTTGTCTCTCTGCTCACTGTAAAGGTTGGATACACTGTATCCCCAATGTTAACTTGTAACATTCTGAATCTGAAAAAAAACCCCATCAAATTACCTCTACAGAACAGGTTCTTTCAGGAAAGTATACTTTTTCAATGTATGAAGAAAACTTACAGTTGACTCTGCCCAGCATTAGCATTGTCATCATCCAGAATCGTGTCTGAAAGGGAGAAGAGCATTAGCATCCTCACAAAGACAAACCGTGGCTCCTCACACAGACACACACATGGTCCCAGCTGCTTCTTCACCCTACAAAGACATCAAATTTAACATTGTTGTCAGATAAAATATTTTTCTTTTATCATTTCATCTTAGATTGTATGAAAAACTTTATTTCATTCATAAAACATTTACATTGCTTGGTATGTTGTATTGTTACATGTAGTACCTTTTCAGCATAACTTGATAAGGGTCAAGGCCTGGCACCTTGAACATGGATCCTATTGTGTTTTCTTTACATTTCTTCAGTAGAGCTGGAATTATTGCCTTCTTGTTTGTGATGGAGGATATATGGTAGGTTTTGGCAAATGATTTCAAATCTGGGGCAGACAGCAGATTGAGAGCTTTCTCCAAGTCATCCAGATCATTTTCTGTCAATTTTAAAAATACATGTACAAATAATTCATACCTGGATCATTGAAAGGATAATATTACTGACATATAGTATATAAAGAGATAGAAAAAGATCTTGTCTAATCATGGAATTATCAAAGACACTCAGTGCCAGGATCCCCTCCCCTGCAATACCAGAACCCTGTCTAACAAATGACAGTCCTTGTAAAATCAAACAAAATTTATCTGATTCATTAAATTTCTCAGCTCATTATCATAAGTAACTGACCAGAGCTTAAGAAGCCTTCTCTTTTGAGCTCTTGAAACACATTTGATAAATCATCCTTGATTCCTGGGTATTTGATCTGTTGTTGTGTCAACCATTTCCATTTTCTCCCAAATAACCTAACATATAACTTTTGAGCAGGTTCTGTAATAAGCAAACAGTTTAGTTCTAAAATTCTTAATTTTATCACATTTGGCAACATAATACATATATCACAGAAAATTGAAAGTAAAGTTGCATGGAAAGTATGGTGTTAAAATGAATCAATATCCACAGAATAATTCTGATTTCCTATTACATGCACAGTTGAACTTTGATATCTCAAACATCAATATACTGAATATCATGAATATGTCAAAGTGACTTGGAAATCCCCACAACTCTTTTCTTTATACATTCAACCTAAATACATGTATCATGAAAATCCTCAAATATCTCAAAGTTTTTTTTTAAGTTCAAGATAACAAAATTTGACTGCATTTCAACAAAACATAAAAGACAATTTTTATTACTTAAACAGTCTGTTTTAGCTTCAACAAACATTGAATACTTACCTGTGAGTTCACCAAAGATACTGACAAATTTCCTGTCCTCATCATTGAAGAGATTCAAATCATCCTCACAGGAGAGAATGGTGCTAATGATTGTTCGAAAATTTTCTAAATAATAGGGGGTCTGAATTACATTCTCTTCATCCTCAGGCAAATCTGAATTACTGCTGCCTTTAAAGAAAAGCATGGAATTTATTAAACATTACAAGTGTCATCAAAGGTTTGTGTTTTAGATGAAAGGCAATGCAAGGTAAACCAAATTAAAACCAGAGGTCTGTAACAAGACTGTAGCTCCATTGGTGTAATATGTAAGTTTGTTGTATATAAAAAGATGTATCTTTTATATAGTCAACTTGTACATCAAGTCTTATTGTAGATCACCAAATTTTTGTGACACCTTATTTTTGTGAAATAGGTATATGGTATTTATAAGCAAGACAATTTTTTTTAAAAATTCTAGGTATTGTTGTATAAAATCTTTAATAATAGAAATATGAATGAAATATTCATGAATGAAATTTTTGCAAGCAGACCGTCTCACACAATTACATGAAAATAAAATTCTTGCAATTTAAGTGATTTACAGTTTTGAAATCAGACTAAAACTGTAAGAGGAGTAGCATTTACAAAGAATTTCACAGAATTTCTACTTTTAGTAACCATGGCAACATCTTTTGTCAAAATACAGTTGTATATAGAATTATGTATCTTAGTATAGTTTAATTGTGTACTAAGTCTTATTGAAGTAAGACCAAATATGTTGCCTAGAGGAATAAAACTGAAAGGATTTCATAGAAATTTCAATTTTTAGTAATCATGACAAGACCATTAATCCAAATCAAAAACCAACATACAGAATTATCTAATCTTACTCTTCGTGTAGTTTACTTCTGTATCAAGACTTAACAAAATGCAACCAAAACTCTAGTAGGAGTAGCATTTTGAATCCTATTTTCAGTAACCATGCAATACATTCCTCAAAAAATCAAAAACTGATACATAAAATCATGTATCTTAGTATAGCCTATTTGAGTACTTATATAAGTCTTACTGAAATTGGATCAAAACTGTGGGAGGAGTAGCACCTTGAAAAATTGTTTACGGACATATGGATTGATGACGGACACCTTACTCATGCATAAACTCTTCTGGTCTCTGACCAGTAGAGCTAAAAAACTAACTGTTGTCTTTTGGCAGTGGGGTAGAAGTTCCAGAGTTGATTGAGTGTGCTTCATCAGTTTCTACATTGTTTTCTTTAGTCTTTGTTCTTCTAGAATTAGGAGAACTAACATTAGGCACACTTTTATTTCTCCTTATTATACTGATGCTGTCATGTTTCTCATCATCAGTTTTCAATCTTTTCTCTATCAAGCTAGTTTCTTTACTTGGACATTCAGACTTTCGTTTTCTAAGAGAAAGTTTCTTCTTGGAGTTTACCTCAGTGTTTGAGCTGGATAGAGATACCTGAGGTTCAACTTTTACAGTTTTTTCTGATTTTTCACACCCAGTTCTATTATTTTCTTTAATTTTGGAATGTATTTGATCTGTAGAAAATGGCCCTGTCTCATTTAAATCAGCATTACTGCCTAATGTGGATTCTGATGTGGAGTCTAATGTTTTGTTGTCTTCTTTGACTCTACTTTTCCTCAAGCTTAACCTTTTCACAGATTTTGATGTCCTTTCTTTGGACAAAAAATATTCAGATGTTGTTTCAACATAGGTTATCTGTATGTCTTCATCTTCTTCTTTCGAGTTTGTGCCTGATATGGAAATGACTTCTGATTTGCTTACTTCATTAGCAAGCTGCTGCTTCTGCTTCTTAAACATTGAAGTGATTGTCTGAAATCCTTGTTCTTTCTTCTTTTGTGGAGTTTTTCCCTTTTTGTTCATTAATTTTTCTTTCATAGCTTAATCTAAAAAAAAACAAACAAACAAATTAATTCTTTGGATATAAGCATTAACTAAGATAAATAAAAACTGGACTGTATAAGTAATATTTTAACTGCATATCTACCATGTTCCAACTGTGTATATTTAAAGAGGAGTATGATACCCTCTCATTGAAATAAGATCTCTGAGGATAAAAAGCATGGAGGAAACAAGTAAATGTAAAATTGGGGGGGATCTTTACATTGGAAAAGGGTTACAACATTACTAATTTAATTATACATGTACCACAGGAGTTACTGGTAGTGAAATCTGTAACTAACATTATACCAGTGTTTGAAACTCACGATAGAATTAGCTAGACATGCAGGACTGACTGCTAGTGAAAGTTGTCAGCCCAGCCAAAACTCAACCAGCCCGAGAATATAAGTCTTTTATAATAAATGTGTTTTAGCAATAATGTGAATGGGGCACGATCACCATAACTTCCATCCCGAATCTATAGGCTGTTGAATTCTACCCCTTTGCTTGTTACACTTAGCTACCAATACTATCAGTTGATTTGAGAGATATTTATCAAATATATGAATTTTAATTCATGGGAAATTTTAACACGTCCAGCCGGGCGTTGATACGTGCAAAGCTGTTAGTTCACAGCAAAATTTGTGCATCTCGGGCGGTCGGGCCCACGCTTATCTCAAACACTGATTATACCAACAAATTTTTTACCAAACCAGCACCTGCAGAATGGTTGGATGTCCTGCTTACTGCTTATTGCAGTCTCTAATATCATTGTGTATTTAAGATTCTATTCAGACTCTTGCAGTCTGATTATTTAGCAGTGATTCATTTTTGCTAGTATCCAAGCGTTTCTGATCTGCTACGCTCCCAACAAACTCTTGGCCTATCATATGCTATCATAGTTGAGATTGTTTATGTCATTTGATCTCGAATAAAGAGCTTTTCCTAATTAAAAATCTTAAATTTATAGAGAAAACATAAAAAGAAGGTTTCACTGATGTTCATTATTTGTTATTTATAGTGCAAGTTACATCTGCATGTAGATACAAGATCACATTATATGCATATCAACTTTAAAGTGGATGACACCACTGCTACATGTGTATTTACAGAATCAATAGCCGTTACAATCATTTGGCCAGTAAAGGGTCAGGGTATACCAATTTGGTTGTGCTGTAAATATAAGCAGGCATTATTTCAAAATCTAAATTGTATGTCATAATTGTCTAAAGACCTGCTGATTTGAATGTAACTTCATCTAATTTCAATCTTCTAAGTTCTAAAGCAACCTAGATTAAAAATATCTGTCCTGTAGATCACAGATTGCCATGTCTAGGAAAAGTTAAAATAAATGCCACTTAACAAGTTTATGGTATTTCCAATGAATAAAGAGAATTAGCAATCAAATCTACAATGAGGAAAACAACAGACAACAAATATAGTATTTATGGGTATTCAGAACTAGTGATATGACAGCATGAAATTATCCCAATATCAGCCATTGATCTATTTTTATTTTTCTGCAAGCTTTAGATATTTGTTAATTAAAAACACATACAGATCATGACATGATTATTTTTGATAGCTGTATCAAAATAATATACAGTTGAACTTCGGTATATATATATCCAGCGTTTTTTTTCCTTATATAACTGGTACCGATAAACGGTACCATTCCCAATACCAACAAATGTTAATTTTTCCCAATTTTGAGATTAAAAATTCCCAATTCAACTGCCAAGCAACAGACTATGATGACATCGTATTTCTTTTTAAATGAAACATTGTACAAGTTGACTAATTGTTTCACTTCTACTTCAATCTAATTTAAAAGTAGAGATTAGTCGAAATATGGCGGAACCTCAGACCGACCTGGTGTAGGCAGCATATAAGTGTCATACATTTTGACAAATTGAAAGCATGAAAATGCGAAAACAAGGGACATTGATATGAAAAACAATAAATACTTGTTGTTTATTCTTTAAAACACAGAGTAATAGGTTATGAGGTTGGAATAAACGGAAAATACGTTTCAATTGTTTAAATGACAGAAAATTCTCCTTTGTAAGTTTGTTCTACTTCGATGCTATTTTCCCCAATCGAATTGGTACTGGACCCTTTCCCAATGGGTAGAAAAAAATCGCTGGTATCTCGAACACTGAGATCTTGAATACCATGGATATGTCGAAGTGATTTGGAAGTCCCAATTGCTTATTCCTTAAGTATTTTACCCTTGATATCCCGAACCCTCGGATATCTTGAAGTATTTTTTCGGTCCCATCGGGTTCGAGATAACGAGGTTTGACTGTACGTGAAAAATTAAGGTTCTGACAGATGGTTTTCTGTGGACAAATGCTAATTGTTGTGATCTGGATTTATTGAATTGTAAAGTAGGTCAACTATTTTAAGGTGTTGAACACAAATTGACCACAAAAATAAATAAAAATACATAAATAAATAAATAACATACATAAATAAGCCTTTATACCATAGATTTCAATATTTTTTACACTTTTAAATTAATCAATTATCAGCTCTTAAACTATTGATAATGTGGAACTGGTCAAAAACTTGGAACTAGGCAAATAACTGTATCTTTAATACTGATCATTGTTTACTTTTCTTTTCCTACAGAAACGAGAAAAATCCTGGACAGAGATATTTTTTACTTTAGCTTTGCAATGCACTTGCTGAATACAGAGTCTCTGAAAACCAAATATTTCTATCAGTCATTCTGACTGATGACCCAATATTTTCTAACAGTCCAAAGCAAATTCCATCAGTCTGAATAAATTCTATTATAATTCATTATGTAATTTAAAAGAAAATGGTATTGATTGGGACTGGTCATGTCGTTTCATCTGAAGTAAACATCAAATTGCTGCAGATCATCAATGCCAACCTACCCGCAATGTTTTCCCTAAGAACTGGCTACCGACCAAATTGACTGCTTCAGTTGATAAAAATGCCACTTTGAAATTAAAAAATCCAAATTTAATTGTTGAAAGGTCCACAGAATAATTGTAATAATTGTAATAAACTTCAAGCCAAGCCTGTTACAATTGATCTCTAACCCTTTACTTTGAAATAAAGGAAAAACACTGTAACTGGACCTTGAAAGTAAACTCTGCAAATAGTCAAATAATATCAATAAACTCCAATAACACCTTGAGAAAAAATCCTGACGTTAAAGCAACACAGGGGCTTGCTCCTGGAGCGTAATTAAATATTTAATAAAAAAAAAAAATCATATACCAACTACTAAATCTAGGGACCTACACCTGCACCGTACATTTGGACGAGAATGCGGGTGGTTACGTTCCGATTACTTGTTCGACCCGCGTGGTTTCGACACGAATCCATGTTCGACCCGAGTGGTTTCGTTCCAAAGCAATTAATTGCTTCGGAACGAAATTAATTAACACTTTAACCATGCAGTTTAACATTTTATATTTTCGTCTACATTTTTTTTTATATCGACCACATATATTTGTGTTAATTATCGTATGTAATTTAATTCGGAGAAACGTACATTGTTTAGACAGTGCATATGTGTTCACGGTACATTTGAAGAAGTATTTGATTATTTATTATGGAAAACTCATTACTAAATCAAATTTATCAACATCCATGCTCCGCGATAGTAGAAAAAAATGTTAGGAAACCTTCTCACTGCATGTTGACTACATATACGGAAACAACTACCTATTGACACGCACATCTCTGAAGCCATACAATATACAGCTACCGAATATCCATTTGTTTACCGCACAGTGTATATCCCTGTACTCAGGTATTGACATGTTGGGATATATATTAGAGTAGGTCGAAACCACTTGGGTCGTAACCACGCGGGTCACACACGGAATCGGAACGTAACCACCCGACACCTTGGACGACTGTTGGATATTGACGATTAGAAAACTAAAACAGCTTAGAGTGTTTCAGGGAAACTATAAACGTGAAAAATTCAGTTGCAGAAATCTTCAATACTACCATGTTTTGGACAAGATGACATAGATTTTTTTCTGTCGTGTAATTAACCAACCAAACTTTCAGGCAACATCAATTCGTTTTTTCGCACGCAGGAAATAAAATAAGATGTACTAACACATAAACCAATAAATCGGATTGAGTAATTCCGGATATTTTTAGCTCACCCGAGCCAAATGGGACCAGCCAAATGCTCAAGATTTTCTCACTATGGTTATATTTATTTGTATGAAGGTATATATAAGTTTGTTAATTCATAATTTTTTATATTATTAGTATCTACACACTTCGCTTAATTAAAAATGAAAACAAAAAAATGGGATCAATTTGATTCTTTTGGCACTAAGGTACATTTAATATGACCTTTTTGCACTGTAATTGTGTCTTAAACATAAATCACTATGGAGTTTTTCCTCCAATATTATTTATCAAAAAAAAAAAACAGATGTGTTTGTGAAACACTGATGCTTCCGTATGGCAACTTATAACAAAGGTTAAACTTTCTCAAATGCAAATCAAATATGTTGGTACCCAAAGTAAGGTCTTGTTTCAAGGAATATACCTGTGAAATATGAAAGCCCTAGCAGCAACCATTGAATAGATATGGAAATTTTTTTTTCAAAAGTAATTCAAACATCAAGGTCAAGGCCAAATGGTCAAAATTAATGGTGCCTAAGGAAAGGCCTTCTCACAAGAAATATACAGGTGAAATATGAAAGCTGAAGTACCAATCGTTCAAAAGTTATGACGAAGGTTAAAGTGTTTCAAAAGTAGGTCAAACTCCAAGGTCAAGGTCAATGGATTACAATTGTTGGCATCCAAAGGAAGGTCTTGTCACAAGGAAAAAACTTTTTAAATATGAAAGCCCTAGCAACAACTTTTCAAAAGTTGTGTCCAAGGTTAAAGTTTTCGAAAGGTAGGTCAAAGTCCAAGGTCAAAGGGTCAAAGTTGTTGGTATCCAAAGGAAGGTCTTGTCACAAGGATTATATATGTGAAGTATGAAAGTCCTAGCACCAACGGTTCAAATGTTATGGCCAAGGTTAAAGTTTTCCAAAAGTAAGTCAAACTCTTAGGTCAAAGTCAAAGGGTCAAAGTTGTTGGTATCCAAAGAAAAGTTCTTGTCACAAGGATTACATATGTGAAGTATGAAAGTCCTAGCATCAGCGATTCAAAAGTTATGGCCAAGGTTAAAGTTTTTCAAAAGTAGGTCAAACTCCAAGGTCAAGGTCAAAGGGTCCAAGTTGTTGGAATCCAAAGGATGGTCTTGTCACAACGTGACAAGGATTACATATGTGAAGTATGAAAGCCCTAGCACCAGCTGTTTAAAAGCTATGGCCAATGTTAACATTTTACAAAAGTAGGTCTAACTTCAAGGTCAAGGTCAAAGGGTCAAAGTTGTTGATATCCAAAGGAAGGTCTTGTCACAAGGATTACATATGCTAAGTATGAAAGCCTTAGCACTAACTGTTCAAAAGTTATGGCCAAGGTTAAAGTTTTTCAAAAGTAGGTCAAACTACAAGGTCAAAAGGTCAAATATGGTGGTACCCAAAGAAAGGTCTTGTCACAAGGAATACACATGTGAAGTATGAAAGCCCTAGCACCAATTGTTCAAAAGTTATGGCCAAGGTTAAAGTTGGGAAAAATTTTGCAAAACTGGGTCAAACTCCAAGGTCAAGGTCAAAAGGTCAAATATGGTGGTACCCAAAGTAAGGTCTTGTCTCAAGGAATACACATATGAAATATGAAAGCCATAGATCCAACCAATCAAATGTTATGGGCAATGTTAAAGTTTTTGCGGACAAACAGACAGACGGACGGACAGGGCAAAAAATATATACCCCCGAATCTTTGATACGGGGGCATAAAAAATAATCATGGGACCAAATAAACTGTTATTCTATATTAAAAAGACTCATTAAAAATGTGACAAAGAAAAAGTTTAATTTCACTTCACATAATCAATTATTTGACCTTCCTACACTCACAAAAAATGTCATTTTTCAGGCATTAAAATTAAACAACCAAGAAAATTATTTGAAGTCTTAAACTTTTGCTGAATCTAAACAAATTAATCAAAGTAATCTTATACATTCAGAGAAGAAAATCAAATATAATCAATATCCTAAATGATAACTATTTATGGTTAGTATATGGGTGTTACTTACCTACTTAATTTTCAGGGAGAAACCTATTACTCAGTTTAGCATTGTAGCCCAAGGTCTGGCTTGAAAATTCTCCTTATCAAAAATTTAACTGTTTGAAGAAAAAAAATTATGTTCAGAATTTTTATATTATTGCAGACAATGAAGTCCAGACCTTTTGAAATCTTAGCTGGAACTTAATTCATGCATGGGCTGTTTTTCATCTCTTTTTTGGCAATTGTATTCTGATAAAGGTGTATAATTTTCAATAGGCTACATGTATGTATAAATTTTAATCTTTTTTTTCTTATGTCAAAGTTTATTAATTCATCTTATGCATTCAATGTTGTGTATTTGCCCCAATAAGCACCAATGAGCTGCTGAGTATAGGCCTATTTTTTGTGAATATTTTTGGGATTAGGCCCTCTTGAAAATCAAAGTACAGGAAGTACTTAGAGCTGATCTTTCATTGTCAATAGTCTTTTGCATTCTATTCAAAGTTTCTACGAAATGATTTTTATGGCCCCGTATTGAAGATTCGGGGGTATATAGTTTTTGCCCTGTCCATCCATCTGTCTGTTTGTCCACAAAAACTTTAACATTGCTCATTACTTCTGATTGGTTGGAACTATGGCTTTCATATTTCACATGTGTATTCCTTTGACACCATCATATTTGAACTTTTGACCTTGACCTTGGAGTTTGACAGTTTTACAAAATTTTACCCAACTTAACCTTTGCCATGACTTTTGAACAGTTGGTGCTAGGGCTTTTATACTTCACATATGTTATCCTTGTTACAAGGCCTTCCATTGGATACCAACAACATTGACCCTTTGACCTTGACCTTGGAGTTTGACCTACTTTTGGAAAACTTTAACCTTGGCCATAACTTTTGAATGATTGGTGCTAGGGATTTCATTATTCACATGTGTATTCCTTGTGACAAGACCTCCCTTAAGAAACCAACAATTGTAGCCCATTAACCTTGACCTTGGAGTCTGACCTACTTCTGAAAAACTTTAATCTTGGCTGTGAAACGTAAACTGTTTTTGTAAACAGGGCACGAGCTCTGTTATGGGTGTGCTCAATTTGTTAAACTCTGCACACATCACTGAGCATGGACTGACAATACTGGTCAGTTGGTTTTGTTATCTTACATTTCTACTCTGAATTTTCTGGATTATAGTTTGAATATATTTCATTAATACACAACAAAAATTTCACTTTTCTTAAGTATTAAGGATAAAGTTTGCTTCATGAAAGTGCTAGGATGTATCAATCAAACGCATCCTGAAATTTGTAATTTCAATAATTTCCATATAAAATAAGTTTTTTTATTCTATTTCCATTTGCTATAGCAACATATAAGTCATGGGATTATACCGAAAACTTGAGAAACTATTAACTTCAAATCTGTGTCCAAGCACCTTTAGCCTTTACCATGTCTTTTCAATGGTTGCTGCTAGGGCTTTCATATTTCACAGGTAAATTCCTTGGGACAAGACCTTACTTTGGGTACCAACATATTTGATTTGCATTTGAGAAAGTTTAACCTTCGCTATAAGTTGCCATATGGGGGCATCAGTGTTTCACAACCACATCTTGTTTTTTTTTTGTTTATAGATAGACTGAGGAAAATATGTTCTTTGCGGTTGTTAGCTTCTCCTTCTATGTATCACAACAAGCATTTTCCTGGCTTATAACCCAGAACATTTTTGGACCAAATATTACAGACATTAATTGTATTTTTAGATATGAGAAAATACATTTTTTATTATTAATGCACTTCTGGAAGTATCCTCTGAGCAAACTTAATATGCAGTTAGATAAATCACCCAGCTCACTCAGAAAGAAAACAGAATTCAGTGAAACATTACAAGGGTTCAAAAAGGATTACATGTACAGGGCTGTCCCTAGAATTAAAATAGCAGGGGATATCAAAAAAGTAGAGGGCGGTCTGGGGTTCCTCCCTTAACATGGGGTTGACGGGGAATACCAATGTATGTTTTGATGAAAATATATGAACAGTTTCTTCTAACCTGTTCTAAATGCAAAATAATAGTGAGGTCAAGGTCATAGAGAAGGTCAAGATCAGAAAAATTGATATAGTTGAAAAGTTCTCACCAATTTGTATCTCTGTATGAAGTTTGAGAAAATAGATAAATGTAAAATGAAGGAAGAGTGGTGTCAGGGTCAGGGTCAGAATAATTATGACACAGTTGAATAGCTCCCAACAATATGTATCAGTGTATGAGTTATGATAAAAAATATCTTGAATAGTTACTTTGAACCAGAGCTAAACACAAAACAGGGAAGAGTGAGGTCAATATCACAGAGAAGGTCAAGATTAAATAATTATAACACAGTTGAACAGCTCCCGATGATAAGTATCAGTGTATGAGTTTTTGATAAAAATATCTTGAATAGTTACTTTGAAACTGAGCTTAACAAAAAATAAGGAATAGTGAGGCCATGGTCTCGATGACGGTCAAAAAAATGATGGCACAGTTCATTGGTCAATATACATCATGAATTTTGGTTAAAATATCTTGAATAATTTTTTTTAAACTGCACTAATTGAAAAGTGTGATGGATGGACAGACAGAAGGAAGAAAGGATGGAAGGACAGAGGACAGAAATTTGTAATTTTTCACATTAAGTGCATTTTCATAATTGCACTTAGCTCCAATTACAATAACTTATTTTTCCTTGAGAAAACAAATGAGCTCCAATTACAATAACTTATTTTTCCTTGAGAAAACAAATAAGTTATGTACAGAATTTCATGTATTTATTCTAGTTCAACTGATATGCATCATATCTAGGTAAAATGTTAAAGATGATTGCACATTTTTATTATATGCAAGGATTCTGAAAATAGCTGCAGAATTCAAATAGATATAATTCAAGTACATTGCACAAATACATTATACATTGAAAGAACATACAATTTATTGAATTACCTGTTCAAGTAACTTTAGTTGTGCCTAATTTATAGTTTTTTCTTAATTAAAATAGAAAATGAATATTAAAAACATAATTGATTTTAAATCTAATCTCTATGCATGTATCAAATGCAAACAATACTAGGATAAAAGACATACATGCACTTCAGTGCAAATATGGAAGTGGCTTCAAAAGGATTTTTTCATCTTCTAGACATTATCACACCAACATTTGTTTCTTTAAATTAAATATACAGATTAATATGTTTACATGACTATTTTATTTGAATGCATAATAAAAAAAAATTAAAAATAAAATATGAGACATATCCTCACTGACTATAACAATGTATGTGATAAAAAGAAAAATAAAGCATAAAACTCAAGCTCATAGTAAAAGTACAGGGAAAAATACTAGTACTTTCATTAGCTATTATATTAAAATAAAAAAGTTGGAATGCCAATTATTACTCTTAAAAGAGTAAATAAACCACTTCAAATGGTGAAAATCCATTTTGTTGGAGTGTAAAATCATTATACTGCTGCACTGGTGATTTGTAAGGCTGACTAGTATGCTTTTATTACAGCTTTTATCACCGTGCCACAAGATCTTCCACATTGTTGTACAAGGCTGCCAGAACCCCAGCACTCACAATATCCCAGGACCCATCTGCAATCAAACATTTTTTTAAAAATGTTGTAATGGCAAGCAATTTTTGGATTTTATCTCCCTTCTGCTACTTCAATCTACAAATCTATCAGTAAAATTTAACAATTCATTGACTATTTTAAAATACATGTATAAAATCAACACATTATAAGCATACTACAGGTATGAAGTAAAAATAGTCATCAGAATGAAAATATTTGTACTAATGATCACACTAAAGGAATTTTTGAATGGATAATTCAGCATTTCCCTTTATTTGAAAATTCAGATTGTTCAAATTTCTTTGTTACCTACTGAATTAAAAGGACTGGATTAGTTATAGATTAAGAAAATTATATGTCTGCTGTTTGAAATACTTTAAAATTATAATCTAGATAATGCTTACAAAGTAAGACTGATTTGTGTATGATCTTCATGGCCGTAGGAACCGGGGGGCACAGGGAGGGGGGTGCCCCCCCCCCCCAATAATTTTACCGATAAATAGAATACTATAGAAAACATAGCTACTATATGCTTGTGCCCCCTCAAAATAACGTCTGATGACCTTTTTTTTTTTTTTTTTTTGCTTGTCAAGGAATTTTGGTAGTTGATAGTGCCCCCCCCCCCCAACTGAAAATATATGTTTGTGCCCCCTCAAAGTGAAATTGCTTCCTAGGGGCCTGATCTTGCATATGAGTATCTATTGTTATAGTTATTTAAACCACTTCATATATGTTCCACTTTTCATGAAACAATTGTCATACTTCTATTGTTGTCCTGTAGATAAGCCTCAGGGGCAAAGGCAATCAGGGGCTGATGTGTTGTCCTGTTATTGGAGTCAATCTGGTCTAGTGAACTGAAATGTATTACAAGTGATTAAATACAGTGGGGAAAATTTACAGCTTTAGAAAAAGAGGTCTCTTAAAGTACTAAAGTAAATCTTTGAACCTTTCTTTCTTTGTTAATATGTTCTGTCTATTCTCATTCCCAGTTTACAAATCAATGTTTTGCATGCAATACGTTCTGCAGGAGAATACAATATTGTAATTAGACAGGAAAAAATGTGATGGACAAGGATTTGAACACGGGCCCCCTAAATCACTAGTCAGCTTCTCCTGAATCACTAGTCAGCTTCTCTACCAACTGAGCTATCTGGTCACCTGAGATCAAACTTGTCTGACCTCCACATTCCTCCCTTTCTCAAGGTCTTAGCCCCCAAAGATACCAACCCAGGCTCTTTCCTAGCAGGTCCTTCACCTGTCATATCCTGGTCACTTCACACAATGTAACCAGAGAGGAGAAAAATGTGACGAACCAGACCAGGGCTGGGATTCATAAAACTTCTTAGTATATTCTTAAGTTTAAAAAATCACTTAAGTTTTATATTTTATACTTAAGTTCCCTAAGTATTACTTAAATTTGGTAGAAATACTTAAGTGTAATTCATAAACATATTTAGTGCTTAAGTATTGACTTAAAGTTAAGTGTCCTCAGGAGGTGTCTTAAGTAGATAAGAAATACTTAAGTTTTCTTAAAAATAATGCTTTACAGAAGACATTTTACTCTTTCAGTAAGAAACCATGCTATTACATCCAACTAGAAACTTGTTTTGACTTTGAGATGTTTATCAACTGGTAAGATGCAGTGTTGTGCAATGTTGATGACAAAGTTGTATCACTATCAGTTGTGATGTAATACACATGAAACTAAATACCTCTATCACAAAAGAGTGCGATTTTTGTTCGGGTAATTGTGTGCATGCATTGCTAGGGTGACCTAACTTAAGTGCTCTAATTTTCTCAGAATTAAACTTAGCTAAGAATTGCACTTAGAATTTATATGAATATGACTTAAGAATTTTTTCTTAGCTAAGAATTTTTTTATACTTAAGTGTGAAACTTAGCACAAATCTTAAGTATGTTTATGAATCCCAGCCCAGGATTCAAACTCAGGCCCCTGTATCACTAGTCAGGTGCTCTACTAACTGAGCTATCTGCCACCTGTGATTGAGCCTGTCTCACCACCACACAGTTAACATTTAAAGACATGCTATTTAATTATCCCATCATTCGTATGTTCTGTCTAAAAAACAAAGAGATGCATCTCATGAAAGAAAAAAATAACTTTTTCAACTTCATATTCTTAGAAACACAAAATCTAAACAACTCACTCTTGGCTTCCATATATGTACTGCTCCACATTTAGAAAATGAAGAAGAACTTTGGGGATCTTGTCTGTTAACACCACTCCCTGAAAAAAATTCATCTTTGCATTTCAATCCATTTGTAAATGTAGTTAATACAATAAGAAAGAATGTACATGTATGTCCAAACATAATATACAAACATTAGGGCTGGTTATTGGCTAGAGATTTTGTATTGCAATATACTGCAATATTTCTAACTGTATTGTGATAGGTATTGCAATATTTTCAATGAAAATTTAAATGGTACTTTTTTTATTTAATTAACCTCCATTTACATACAGAATGTACATAACTTTGATAAATGACCAAGAAAAAAATATCTTGTTGATTAAGTTACAGTAATGCATCGAAATACACCCATTGCAACAGTTTAGCCTTACTATTTGGCATGATCGCAAATGTTTCTGACAATTTATACTTCATATTTCATTACAGAAATCCGAGTCCAAGCATTTTGCCGGTATATCGGTACTACAAAAATGTATTGCAATACAATATTTTTTTGTCATTATACCATAATATACCGGAATATGGGTATTAATGGCCAGGCTTAACAAACATATTTACTTTTTCTACATGTATAGTTTTTGAGTCAACCTTCCACAAAATATTGCTTATTTTACAATGACCTCCATCCTTCCCACCCCCATATACAGTGGTATTCTAAAAATACATGAATTTATTGATGCCATAAGTATCAGATTTAAAACAGTTCCAAATGGAAACTCACTTGTAAGTATGTCTGTAATGCCAGTCTTCTTTGCTCTAGAACTTTATAGCTAAATTTCATCATTTTCTTTGGGGGAAATTCTGGTGTTTTCATCTGTTTCTTAAGCTGAAGAAAGCAAATAGGAAGGTTGCTGTTAGTGGATCATGTATTTTGTAGATGTACATAGATGAAAACAAACTATTTCTGTAGTTATATAGATATTAGGGTACTTACATGGACTTACCTGTTTATGTAGCAACTCAAATTCTGAGTACCTCTTTTGAACACTGATGATTTTTCCAGTGGCAATGATACATACTTCAGTGGTGTAAACCTTTGAAAAACATATTTATGTCTTCAAAATTTATACTAAAAAATACTTACAACAATTAATATACTACCAGATTTAACAAAAAAAGTTACAAGTATAAGATTATCCTAAGAATATTATTTAAGCGGTAAGATTAATGTGAAGTCTTGTCAGCTGGGTAACCTTGCTCTGAGTTGAGTCTATATGAATGGTATGGTACATTTACATGTACAAGTCAACTGGATGTATGCATGTGGGCGTTTACCTCAACTTTCCACTTGCTCATAAAAATGAAAGCTTATTTCTTATCATCTATTGTAAGCATATATGTATATTTGTATATATTCACGGAATCAGATTAAAATTACCGTGTAGGAATCATTGTTGTCTTCAACAACTTTATGATAAGAAGGGATTGACACTCGTATCATATTATTTTTTCCAAAACAATGATTTGTATCTCGACCCCGAGTTATTTATTTTTTATTGTTCGATCCCGAAACTAAATTGTCGAATGCAAAATGCTCAATGCACTGGAGAAACATGTTAGTATAGAATGTGTTGCCACTGTTCGAAACAAACACAATTCTGACAGCAGCATTTAATATTTTTATTATGAATCTTGAATATTTATTTTGAATTTGTTTAGCAGATTTTTATAAGTACTATATATAATTGTATGATGGTGAATAAATTGAAAAGGGGTTTGGTTTTTAACCTTTATTTTAAAGAATAAAAAGAATAATTTAAAATGTATAAGAAAGAATAATAAATAAAAGACTCAATAATTATATGAAATAAATCATACAAATAATAATACATAAATAAATAAATTTAGCATTTATTCTATCTGATTATATAATATTCTGAATATGTATGAAAATTTCATTTCGTCTTTGTATATTATTATATCAGACAGGGACCTATATATATAAGTCCCTGAATATTTTATATATATATATATGTTATTATTATACATTATATGATTTGCAATCAGGGGAAGATTCAGGATTTCTTTAGGTGGCCTTAGGGGAAAAAAGAAGCACGTGTTAATTATGTTAATATATGGCTGAGTTAGATCTGTGTGCTAAACTTTAGGTTCGGATTATTTCTCCTGATTTTAAGCACACTTTTTCATCCACTTACACGTCATAGCATAGTTATTTATTTTTATTTTAGTTATCATAAATGCAATAAATATATATTTAGATCTATCAGTTTAATTATTTTATCAGTTTTGATTGAAGAATTTAAGTTCTTTTCATTATTAAAACTATTTTTTAAAATGAATGCATAATGTTTAACGTATGTTTAAATGCATACTGATACGTAAATTTATGAATGGGTTTAATTAATTTCATTGAAAAGGTCCATTCATAAATACGGTATTGTCCATTGATAAATCCCTTGGACGTCATTCATAAAGTAACTAAAAATATGGCGGGAACTTTTTTTAACCAATCAGCTGCATCATCTTACTTCATCACGCACATGCGGAAAGAAAATGGCCGACAACAACAGTGCAGTGGTGTCTGCAGTGCCGAATGTCGGGCAAATGGCAGAAGACACGGGTACCACGGACCCAGGGGACGATGACGATCCTTTATCTGAGAATCAGGACCACGCAGAGGAGACGATGTTTATAAACCAGACAGCCCCGCCTGAAAATCAGTGCGTATCTCTTCGGTTGTTTACAGTTTTAACTCGGTCAGCGATTTTCTGCTGTCCGTTTTTAGTTGTCGATTACACTCTGATTTGCCTAGGAGTGCTAGTGAAAATTTACAAAGGAATTGTTGCAATAAAACCTATTCATACATTTAAACGTAGGGCCTATGATTTTTTATGTTTTAATGATTGTAGCTAGTGTGTTTCAAAATCTTTCAGTAATTTTTTTTTTCCACACAATTGTCAAACCTGATTAAATTTTTAAAAAAATGTAAATACCTACATTATATTAAATACATAGCTGTTGACACTTATGCAGGCAAACATTTTTATTCACTATAATATGCATGCAGTTCTGCATTTCGCATTAAAGGATATGTACAGGTAGTATATTAATAACTTAATAGCATGATGTTTAGAAAAAGTATTTCAGGTTTTGAAGTACACATTAAATGTTCAGTCGGCCAGTTGCAAAATTATTATTATAGAATTCTATATTATAAGATATTTGACACAACTCTAGGTCCATTACCAAGTATTTACTTAAAGACCTCTGAGACATTAATGATGCAAGCACTAGCTGTACTATTACAACAAGTCATTTCAAACAGGCTACTGCTTTAGTTTTTTTTTATATATATACCATGTAGCAGAATTTTTTTTAACTAGTCCTTGCCATACATGAAAACTTTGATGAAAATGTCTTTGGGTGATATTTGCATGTAGTGTCTCAGAAAATGTGATTAGTGAAAGGGAAGTTAAACATCATGCACACAGGTACTTGTGCTCTAATTATATTTTCAGAGAAACTCAAGATATATTTTAATTATCTTCAAAAATTCACTTTTTAAAACCCACATCACCATGGGATCAAATCAAGGTAAGAGGTAATCTTTTTGATGGAATGTTGTAAGTGTTTGGTTGATTAAGTATTATTGGTGTGGCCTTAAAAAATGTCCTAGACAAATGTGATAAAACTGTGTTTGAGGTATTTGACAATTTCACTATGCATAAACAGACAGACAAAAACCAACCATAAAGCACTTTTGTTTGTTTCTGTTTTTATCCCCTTCCCCAGAACATTTCTTGCAATGACAGGATCAGTCTTATACCCCTGATGGTTAGGTTTCCAGCTACTGTCTGCTCTTCTTCTTAGGCACAACCAACTCTATTCCTTCTCAGCTGCCAAAGCCATGGCACTGACTACTCTCTTCCTTGTCCTTCCACTCATTACCAGTGCTGCCTTTATCCTCCAACTTGATCCTAACTCTTGTGCCCCCACTTCCACTGGGAAGTTCCATGACTGCCATCCGGCTTGCCTGTAATCAGTCACCAGTTTTTCATATTTTACAATTTTTTGTTTTTGAGCCTTGATCCTGACATTGAGTCTCCCAAAGTACTGTCAGTTTTATCACCACCAGTTTCTTCATGCTCTCAGATATTAGTTGGATATCCAGTCATTTTGTGGTTTCTACTGTTTATGGAAATTTTAGCTTTCTCTCCAGATTTGGCTTTTAGTTTCTGATCTCTGGCCATGCTCAGTATACCATCTATGCACTTTATGGTGGTCCCAGCTGTCTGCATCAGTTACTTTCTAGTTGTATCCTGACAGTTTGTAAGGCACCAGGTTCTTTTACTTTTGGACCATTGGAGTCCTTGAGGGGTCATTAGGAGGCAAGCCTTCCCAGTTTTGAATTCCTGTCCCATTGATGTGAGAGGTAAGTGTAGCCTGGTGGTCTTGCTGTAAAATTCCGTCTATGCTGGTTGACTTTCCTTTTTGATGCCCTTTACAATTTATATGACAATGTTGTTAAGCATTAGTGAGCAAATTACTCTGGGTAGGAGTTCATGTGGAAGATCAGTAGCTTAAATTTCCTGGGCAGCCTGCCTTGTCTATGTTGACCAGTCTCTCTGTTGTAACCAGTTCTGGTCATATGCTGTTGTTGACATTCTGCAGGTATTTTCGTACCATTTGCATAAGCATTTGATGGGGTTTTCAATGATTGATGGTATCTCTTTGCCCTGAATCTTCAGAGTAAATCTTTGGGTAATCTGCCTGTTCTTAACAATCAGACATCTTGATTTTGGAGGCTTGAACTTCATTTGGTCCCATGTGGCTGTTTCCTCCATGGCTTTCTCTACCCATCTCACATGTATGATCACTGTTGTGGTAATGGTCAAATCATCCATGTAGCCACTGCTTTGGGCCTGTCTGATATTTACCTTGTTCATGAATCCTCTTGTCTCTCCTCTCCCTGCCTCAATCAACAGATTCATGAAAAATATGAACAGGACTACAGATACAGTACATCCTGTAACTAGGCCTTTCTCAAGCTGCTGTCAAGATGCTAATTGTTATGTAGTCTCCCACTCTAAATCTGAGATTAAGTACTAATTAAGTACTAGTCGTCCTCCGGGATTGAGGTGATCTCCTCTGGTATATGGTCATGCTCAACTTTCAATGAATTTATATGAAACCATACCATAGATGTTCACCAGATCCAACCAGAAAACTGTGACGCTTAGACTCTTTTTGCATTCTTGAATAACTGTGGGATGACACTGGTGTGTTTTATACATCCTGGGAACCCTGGTATACCCCTTTCTACATTTAGTATCTACATATCTGTTTTCCACTAGGACATCATCCTTCTCAAAAGCACTGTGAAGGTTTTGCCTTCCACTGAGAGGAGTGATATGGTTTTGAGCTGTTTATTCTCTACAGTGCTCTCCTTTTCTGGTACAATGTAACCATCTTCTATTTAGCCAGCATGTTTGTACATGGTGTTTCCTTCAGGTGATTCTCATTAGTCTTCATAGCCAATTAAAAGGTTTGTGGAACTTCTTGTAGACCTTGTATGTCATACTGTTTGATCCATGTGCTTATCCAGATAGTGCTGTCCTTTATACTACTTAATTTCTTTTTGTGTTGGTTCTAGGGCTGTGTCAGTATATCGAATATACAATACGTATCGATTTTCAGGAATGTATCTTATCGAAAAAATGACTTCCAATACGTATCGGACAGGCAGTTTTCCTTATAATTCTGTAAAAAAGTTGGGAATTTCAGTTACCAAAGATTATTTTTAACTGTTTTGAATTAAAACTGGTCAATAATGAAACAAACGTCAAGGAGATAGCACATCTTAAATAACTATTACAAAATACATAGACAACTATATTTTAACATGTTATGTTAGACTCACCCAGTTTTTATCAAATTTATGCATTAAATGTCATTTACAAGACATTTGTGAAAGACTTAATAAATAATCCAATATATCGCATATCGCTTTAAAAAATATTGTTTCATATCGTATCGAAATATTTTGCTCAATACACAGCCCTAGTTGGTTCCTTAATCTAAAGGATGAAATATATTATGTTTAAAAAAGTAAGAATTTTCACATTTTTTATTTTCATGTATAATGTATAGCAAATATTGACAATTGAAAAATTATCAAATATTACCGGTAGTCATTAACATTTATAGTTTTAGCTTACCAGTATCTCAATTCTTAGATATCTTAGATGTTGAACAAATTGTACATAGACAATTATTTCTTAGTTGTTGTTTTTTTTTTTACCTTATTATAATAAAACTAAACACATGATTAATTGAAAGTATTCTAATGAGACCATCTTTAAAGTTATGTTTGTTTGCCCTTTCCAGACTCATGGTAAAGGAATTGGGTCTGTAGGTAGGTGGGAAAATATTTTTTTCCTAGAAAATTGCAACATGCATTTTGACAGGATGAGAAAATTCAGGAATAAAAAGAGAAAAAAAAATATCATTTCCTGCAGGTTAAAAAAAGTTTCGAGTCAGGCCATTTTCAGCCAATAGGTAGAGAGAGGGCAAACAAACAATTTTTTAGAGATGGCCTGAAGTTATGTTTAAATTTTATTCGTCAGTCGTGAAAATTATTTGTACATATAGATTTCATTTAGTCAAAGGTAATTTGAATAAAAAATCATCATTTGATGTCTTTTTTCCTGAATACATTTAAATAAAAGTTGGGTAGTTGGTAATAATTTCCCTGTAAATGATTTACTATGAATGTAAATCTAAGTACATGTATATGATAAGTAAAGATGTTAAAGTAAACCATGCTAGGGAATGGCAATGTTATCCAATGGTAAATGCTATGAGAATTTGATACTCAGGTATGGCACAAGAATTATATACTTAGAAAATGGTATAAATTTGTGTGTTAGCAATAGTGTGGTTTATTTTGTATGATAAGCATACTTTGTTTATAAACCCAGTATTCAAATTTAAAAGGGGTCAATTATCATTGAAGAGATTTTAAGGCATTTGGCTTGAAAATGTGGTAAAGTTCATGAAATTTTGCTGAAATTTTTCTTCTTTTTTATGAATTTTATATTGTACAATGTTCGCATATTATTTTGTTACAATATATCATTGATAGATGTTTAAATGATAAAATTAATAAGGAAATTAGAGTAAAGGTTACTTGTGTATAAACCTTGGATTATTGATAATGCTATTGAGAATGGAATAGGAAAATGTTTTCACTTTTTAAAAAGTAAAACCTTTTCCTGTTTCTAGATTTTGTGAAAGGAATGCAAATGAACATTAAAAATCTGTTCAATCTGTCATGGTACATGCATACATTACCAGTAAGTGTGGTATACTTAAAACAATGCCACATGTAACTTCCTTCTTTATGTCAGCTGAATTAGATATTCCAGATCATTTTCAATAGAATTATTACAGGACTAAAAGAGAAAAAAATGTATAAAATGAAGACTAATATTCATTTTTTTCTATATTCATTTTTTTCTCCTTCAGATATTAAGATCAGAAGAGACGTTCCTTGAATATATGATTTTATATCTTAATCTTTGTAATCTACCAAAAATATTTATACTTATTATTATCTTGTAATTTCTGAAATATTTTCAAAATTTCTGAAAAAGTATAAACACCAAAAATTGTGATATAAGCAATTCAAATGAAATCCAACAGGATTATATCCATATCATCAGGTATCTTGCACAAACGCCTGGTAATGCATGTCATTTTTGGGTGAAGAAACTTATTAAAGTATCAATATGTCAATCACAAGTTCTTGGGAAAATTTATATATTATTGAGGAATGTCTTGTCTGACCTTGTATCACATGCTAATTATACACATTTGTAGAAGGATGAGGTTTTTAGGCTGTGTTTTTCATGTTTTGTTTTTTTAACTTAAAGTATCTGATTGAGATGTTGACTTTCAAACATTGATCTATATACAGGTTTAAGACTTCCATACATTTGATCTACATACAGGCTTACACTTTATATGCTACCTTTGTAGCATATTGCATGAATTGTAAGATTTTCACCATCTCGCTACATCAAAAGCTTTGATAAAGCAGTCAGCCATTCCAACAGAGTACAAACTCCCACACCCTTTCTCCACAAATGCTTCTTTTTATCATTTTATATATAGATAAGACATTATCAGATTCAGTGAGTATGATTTTGGGTAATATTGATTCACTATGGCAGGTATCCTCTAGTTCTGTGTGGGAATAATATGTAGAGCTCATTCTTTGGGGATGAACACTGGTGTATAGCACTTCTTTATATCAAGAAAAAATAATTAGCATTTAGGACTTGTTAATCATAAAAAACCTCAGGTATTAATGTCATTGAAAGAAAAGTGTACCTTTTCTTTTTAGTTCCTTTGAACAATTCTAAAGTGCATTAACCTGCCCTTTTGTCTGTGAATGAAGTACATGTCACATCTTTTTTTGAAGAAGAGGAATATAAAACCCTTTCTTCTTCAATATATAAAGGGCTTTGAATGAAAAAAAAAGTTTCATTATTTGATTATTAATATGTCTTGAGTTTCCCACCTGTATATCAGGTGTTTATTTAGTATTTATGCTGTATATAAAATTCCCTGCCTATTGTTTCATCTTAAAGTAGCAAGTAGGTCAGAAGTGTACCTCACAAGTATGCAGGCAAAGGCTTGAATATTTAAAAAAAAAAATATTCAAACTCATTTCTAATTTTCAGTGATTGTTAAAAAAAATTGTGCTATATATTTATAGTTGAAAAGTAGGCGTTTTTTGTTTCCTTATGGGAAATATTAAAAATGTAACTTCCCGAAGAGATGATAGAAGTTAAAGGTTTTTCTCGCCCACTCACTCAGGCATGATGGTGCTCTGTTGGATGTGATCACATACAAACACGCACAATAAATTAGCCAACTGTAGGGTAGGAAAAGGGGAAGGTTGGTAGAACTCTACATATTACATGTCAACAGGCTTGACGTGATATTACATGGAGAGAGATAGAGTACATCTAGTATTGTCTTCATTACGTGCTCTCTGTGCATTAATTTAAAACAGACTCTGAACAGTTATAATTTACAGACTTGTTTAAGAGAGTTTATAATTCTTAATCAGATGAAATACTTCCTGTCCAGACTTAAAGTAATTAGACATATATATAAATTGTTTCCTCTTTGTAAACAATTGGGGGAATATGTCTGAATTATTTGTATTTTCTCAGGGGGAAAGAAATATTTAAAAAATATTCTGTTTGTTAATGTGAAAATTTTCTTAGAATGTCAGAATTCAATTGATTTGTAATATATATTGATTAGCATATGTTGATTAAAGTGAAAAAATTGCTTAAACTTTTTTTAAAATAACATGAATGCTTATTGTCATTTTCTGTCATTTACTCTGGTACATTATGTGAAATGTGTTCAGACCACAGGAAGCATCATTGATTTGTAAATTCTATGCTAAATGCAAACTACTGTTTGTTGATATTTGAGATGTCTTGCTTCAATTTGATTATATTTACATGCACATCTTTGATCTGAAATCATTATGGCTGATAATTTTCTCTGTGCCGTAGATCCTTAACAATGTGTGATAATATTTTGATATTTCCTAGATTTCCTCAGTCCTAGATCATTGTGTCTAAAAGCTTCTTTTTGACTCATATCTAGGTCATTAAAGTCTGATATCATCTTGGATATATTAAATTTTTGGTCATTGAAGTTGATATTGTCTAATATTTGTATTTCTTTAGATGCTTTATATTCTAGATCATTTTCTCAGGTGTCCTAAATTTATGATCTAAGCCAGTGTATGTGCTGTTTGCATGGTCATACTGTAATTCACTTATTCATTGGAACATTAATTTTGCATTATTATATAAAAGATCATTGTTTCATTCTCTCATATAATTGTATTCTGAAAGATTATATACAAAAGTAACCAAAATTCATGAAAATTTTGCCTAGCTATTGAAGACCAATTAACTTTCTCACAAAAATAAGACCTCATCAAAATTTGGTGATGTACAGAGGTGCCTTGTACTGCTTCTAACTTAGCTATATACTCTAGTTTTCTCAGATACATCTCACCAACTCTGATCTCTATCCAATGAAAGCTTTGTCATTATACTCCCCAGAGACAAAAGTTTGGGGCAGGGTATATAGGAACTGTTCATCAATCTGTCAGTATTTCTGTCTTTGCAGTTGTGTCCAGGCCAAAACTTGGTAATGGAGAAACACTGAAAGCTCAATTCAAAGATTGCTAAGGATATGTCATAACCTTGACCCAAGGTCTTTTGAGCAAGTTCAAGATTACTGGAAGAAGAAGTGTATAATTTGTGTCCGGTCCATAATTTTCTAATGAAACATATTGGAAGCTCATACTTCACACAAAATTTACTTATGACCTGGGGATATGTCATAACCTTTTGCCAAGATCATTTGGGCAAGTTAAAGGTAATTTCAGAAAAATGTATAATTCCTGACCTGGCCATATCTTGTAATACAGAAACATTGGAAGCTCATTCTTCATATAAAGATTGCTGATGACTGGAGAGTTTTTCATGTCTGGTAATTTAGGCTCTTCAGAAAAAAACTCCAGAAAAAGTGTAATTTGAATATGGTGTAACATTGGAAGTTCATACTTCAAAGATTCCTTATGAGCAGCTGATATGTCAGGACTGATTCTTTGACTCTTTTTGACTCTTGAATACCAGGAATATGTCAATGTATGTTGGCAGTCCCAACCACTTTTTCCTTTTTTTTACTCTCGTTATCTTGAATCCTTGGATATTTGAGGTTTAATCTTGGTCACGTTGAGTTTGAGATAACAAGGTTTGACTGTAGTTGCAAATAATTGTCTATACCTCACTTTTCCTGTCATCCTGATTGTATGTCTATGATTTTTGTAGAAAAAGTTAAGTTTTAACAATTTGTGACCACTTCATTAAGACCAGATTTTCTGGTTTATCATGTCATCCCATGCATGTATAATATTTTAAACAAATGCTGTTGTGTAAAAATAATCACTTGAAGATGATCACAAGTGGTTGATAATATTAATCATTAATAGGCAATGGATTTTTCAAAAGATAGCAGATTGAAGTGCTGGCTATTTTTATCTCATCCTACGCCCCCACACTGTATAACCTGATGCATTATTTAGTGATCTCAGCTTGAGGAGTTTGTCATAATTATTAAACAGATATTAATATTCTGTAGAGTCCTTGTAAAATCAGTTTACAGATCATAAATTCAAAGAAGATCTATTATTTTGACTACAAAATTATTCCTCTCGTTCAGAATATTGCTTTTAATAACGGAGAGGGGATGGTTAAAATTGATAACAGGATGCATTGGTAAATTGATTTATTTTACTTAGTCCCTTGTAATCACTGACAACATGCCCATTTCTGGGTATTAATAAGTGACTAAAACCATATTCCTTCACCAGACAGGCACTCCCTAATTCAAAACATCTCTGATGAAATTCGAAATTCTAATTTAGGGATTTGGGTAAGGCAGTATAGAAAAAAAAGGAGAGTTTAGTACTAAATTAATAAGAGGTGACACTTTATTAAATTTTGTTGATAAGGGGTAATGGTGGATGAAATCTGGGGAGGGGGGCTAGGCTGGAGACTTACAATTGGAGGATAGAGTGGGTATATAAGCATCGAAGATGTCACCAATCTCAGTTCAGAGTTTCCGGCGCCCACAGAAGGTGCACTCTATACCATTACAACAGTGTGCAATATAGATTTTACAAAGCACAAGGAATCATTCGTTAACACTCGCTACGCCTACGTATTTCCAGTGTTTATATAGCCATTTTAACAAAGTTATCCCATAGGAGCCTTACCACCCACTGTTTTTCCTGGTCTTATCAAACTTAAATTGACCTACATACATTTAATTAAGAGTGATTTGTACCTATTTCAATCAATATATCAAAATTCCATCCCTAAAGTTAAATGCATGTTATGAAATAAATTTGGTTATGAGTATATTATGATTAATTTTATAAATCATGATCTATAAATGAAATTCAGGTTCCGGTACAAAATGCTTGCATGTGCCAAGGGGCCTGCCAGAACAAAGATGACGGTTGTCTGATAAATGGTTCTAATATTTTAACAATTAGTTTAGAGTTGAGTTTACAAATGATGAACTTTTTGAGAGGTCCTGTGCTGAAGTGAGCCATAATTCTTTCATACTGCTTCATACTCTGTGTAACTGTGTCACTTGCTTGAACTTAAGGCCTTAAACTGAAGCATGTATGTCTATATGGAAGATTATACTAAAAAGATATGCAAGATTCCTTCCCAAAAACAAGAGGAGCAAAGGTTTTTCTGAAATTCGTCTGTTTATGCCTGCCTGGATCATTTGAATTAAGGAGTTATTTCTAACGTGACATTTGATTTTGCAGATGGTATCATGGCCGACTGGGTCGTCAGGCAGCGGAGGACAGACTTCGTACTGCGGGAGAGTCGGGAAGTTACCTGGTGAGGGAGAGTGAGAGAAACAAAGGATCCTATGTTCTCTCCTACCTGGGGAAGAATGGACTTACACACTTTAAGTATGTCAGAATTGTACCATATTATAAAAGAAATGTTCACATGAATAGAAATTTAGGCTAGGTGTAAGCTAAAAAAAAAAATGCATGTCTCACTATGTTGAAGGACAATTTTTTAAAATTTTGAATTAAATTCAATTAGAATTATTTTGTTTAAAGACTAATGTGATTATTGCAGGATTTCAGCAATTTGTGGTGATTACTACATTGGCGGGCGGCGTTTTGACAGTCTGTCTCTGTTAGTGGGTTATTACACTTCCTGTTCATACCTTCTCAAAGGGGAACAACTCAAGTATCCTGTCTCCCCACCAGAAGTAAGTTTTCAGTTTTAGAGTGATAACTGGGAATAAACACTGAAAGCTATAGGCAATGGCTTTCAGTGGACTCAGGAATAAGTTTTATCAATCTCCTACTATTAGAATTAAGTTAGTAGTTGTTCCGGAAAATGTAAGACTGAAAAAAAAATAAGGTTTCGGCCAAAGGATTATTCTAATGATTCTGTGAATTTTTTCAGCCTGTTGATGACAGAAGAAAAGTTGTGGCAGTGTTGTCATTTTCCAAAATGCCAGAAACGGATGAGCTGAGTTTTGAGAAAGGAGATGTGTTCATTGTATTAAATGAGATGGGAGATGGATGGCTTTGGGTTAAGTCATTAAGGACAAATGAAGATGGCCAAATCCACGAAGCACTTGTTGATGATTTGGTAAGGCAAGGAAAAATCATTTTAATGGTATTGTGATACTCATTTGACTTGAAAAATGGTAGAGATTAGTATTTTTTAAAAATGCTTAAAGAAAATGCTATTTGCAAAGCTTTGACAAACTGGACAATTTTGTTTTTTGGTAGAGTGACAGTGTGGAACCAGTTCAGGGTCTGCCATACTTCCATGATAGCATAACAAAGGAACAGGCGGTGGAAAAACTCAAAGAAGGTAATAACTCTTGATATTGTCATGGAGTATCACACCAGCTGAAAAATAATGGAAGGGCATTTATAGGTTTTATTTTTTGTTTGTTTTTTAGAATGTGAAGAGTCATAATTTCTCAAAGGTTCAAAAAATAATAACACTAATTTTAACAAGCAACAATCCTTTCTAAATGAGATTTATATAATTTATTCCCAATACCAGAAGATATGTAAATTATTGCTCAAAGGAATATCTGAATTGTTAGTTGGTCGGAGATTGGAATGGTTTTACATAGTATACTTAAACTTTAATATCTTTAATAAATTATGTAATTCCAATCAATCCTCTCAATTTGTTTCAGCTGGCCAAGGGAGTTTTCTTGTCAGACCAAGTGAAAATTCACCCGGGAACTATTCATTGTTTGTGTTATGTGATAAGGTGGTGCAACGATTCCGAATAGAAAAACAAGGAAAACAATTATTTCTAATGGGTGGGAGATATTTTGAAAGGTAATTTCATTAAAAGTTTCTGTTGCAATGCAGTGGAAATAGATTTGTGTATTGGTGACTGAAATTATTCATTTTGACATTGACTGTTATAATATCATCTCTGCTTGGATAAATTTTAGTTTGGATGGAATCATAGAAAGATACAAGAAAGAAGAGATTGTCGAGGGACATACCTTAGGAGTCCCAGTTAACAGAGTAAATATGTTCAATAACTTAATAGATATAAACTCCAATTGTACATGAGATATCCTTTTTAGCTCACCTCGACGGAGTTGAGCTTATGCTATACCCCCAGCATTGGTGTTGGCATTGGCATCCAAGTTAAAGTTTAAGAGGCAAGTCCATTCCCTGAGAACTATAAGCCCTACCTGGACCAAACTTGCATGGATGATGCATCTAGGGATGTACATTATCCTACTTGCTTCAGATGCTGAATGATACCTATATTTTTATTTTTGATGAATGACCAGGGTTAAAGTTTTTGGAGCAAGTCCAGTCCCAAGTAACTACTAGCCTTATGATGACCAATTTGCATGGTTGATGCATCTAGGAATGCAGACTACCTATGCCTCAGATGCTGGATCTGACTTGCATTTTCCACATGAATGACCAGATTAAAGTTTTTGGAGCAAATCCTTTTCCAAGTAACTATAAGCTCTATGTTGACCAAACTTGCATGGATGATGCACCTAGTTGTGCTCACTAACTGACTTACTTCAGATGCTGGATATGACTTACATTTTCTGAAGAGACTAAAGTTTTAGAGCAAGTCTGCTTCCAAGTAACTACAAGTCCTACCCAGACCAAACTTGCATGGATGTATCATCTAGGGATGCATACGAGAACGAGCTTTATAAACTTTGATTACCTATGTATTAGCTGTCAAACATTTATACTGATCCTGAAAAAGTCTGGTTCTTTTCTCTTTTTTTTCTCATCAGATCAGATTTTTTTTCATTTAAACAAAAAAAAACCCAAAAATTAAAGATAAACAAATATGACTAGTTATGCCATTTCTATAGATTTTTTTTTTGTCAGTGATATTAAGAGTTTTTTTTTTCATTCTATCATTTCATTTATTTTGAGGCAATGAAGATATAAATTGTTATTAACAGGAGATGAAAATCAAGTCTGATAAGTTGGATAGGTTGTCTCACAAGGGATCAACTGATGACCTGTATGACTCCATCAGACAAAGTTCACGGGGCCCCATGACAGGTCGAAAGGGCAACAAGTTGGAAATGAATGGATACCTATACATCAAGAAAAATAGTCAGCTTATTTTTATGTCTTATTTTTATACTGATTTTTTTAATTTGGTTTCAATGAAGAGGACATTTGATCTAGAAAATGAATATGCTTTCTTTGGTAGGTTATTTTTTTTAGATTAGCGCTACTGTCCATTTCCCTCTGTCATTTTCTATGCATATATTTTTCCCATTTTCAACTTTTTCTTCAGAACCAAGAGGCAAATTTCAACCAAACTTTCCAGAAAGAATAATTAGGTGATGGCAATCCAATCTTTTTTTTTGAAAGGGAGATAATTAAGAAATAGGGAAAATATGGTGGGTCTTTGATAATCTCAAGAATTGTTATTACAAAAGTGACAACTCCTGAACAGCAAACTGAAGTTTCCTTATCTACCTAATTTGTTCAAACCATGCTTGGTAACCTTCAAATGATTATTAAATCCCATCTTGGTCTTCCTTTTTATGCCCCCTCCCTCTCCCTTGAAAAAGGGGGCATATTATTTTGCACTTGTAGGTGTATGTCATTTGGTTGGTATACCAAGTGTTGTTTGCTCAGTATCTTGAGAACCTTTGATTGACGTACAGTACATCAAATTTGATATTCTAGTTCCCCCTAAGAAGTTGATGACCCATATTGATTTTGAGGTTACACGGTCAAGAGAAAAACTACTGGCGACATAGGGAAATATTTTCCATTCAGCAACTTTAGAACCCTTAGCTTGACAGAAATGAAACTTGGTATATTGGTTCCCCACAGGGAGTGTATGAAGCCCATTGATTTTGAGGTCACGAAGTAAAGGTCAAGAGACAAACTTGACACAAGAAAATGTTGACCACTCAGTAACTTGAGAATCTCAAGGTCTGATAGAGATCAAACTTCAAATATGTTTGTCCCTGACAAATAGATAACCCATTTTTTCACATATCATTACAGACATTCTAGATTTAAAGTTATCCATTTTAATATTGTACATGGGGAGCATATATATTTCTAGAAGGTTTTTTTATACGCCCGTCTTAAGATGGGACGTATTATGTTATAGCCTTCATGTCCGTCCATCTGTCTGTTAGCTTTTTCGTGTCCGGCTCATAACTTTAATATATTAGGCCTAGAATTATCAAACTTTGTTAGCTGCTACATCTTGGGTAGAAGGTGTGTCGCACATTAAAAGTAGGTTGCTCTGACCTTTAATTAAGATGCTATGGCCAAATATGGAAAAATCCTGTCCGGCTCATAACTAGAAAACTATTAGACTAAGAATCATCAAACTTGGCCATTTTATGCATCTTAGGTAGAAGATGTGTCGCGACTTATTTCAAGGTCACTGTGACCTTTAATTTAGTGAAATTTTTTTAAAAAACTGTGTCTCTATACTATTAAATTTCACAATCCCCAAAAATGTAAGAATGTTGCAGTATCCTTATTAAAAAAAATGTTAAATCAAGAAAATACTTATTTTTTTTCATGATATACTTTACAGCAATCTATAACAAATGACAAATGTAATGTTATAAGAGAAATTCCACCTCTCCCATGGGTGTAATCATCAAGCACTGGTCAAGGAGAATTTTGATAACAGAAAATTACATGACAAATTAGAGAGAAATTAATGAGTTTAGTGTGAGGAACTAACTGGTAGAGCATCTCTGATCAAGCAGGTGTTGTCTATTTCTCCTGGGAATTGGGGAAAGGAATCAGTGTTGGATTAAATGAATAAATGAATCTATTTGGCTAGCCTTTTAACTTTAAAATGAATTTGGTGAAAATTAATTAAACTAACTTGATAATGTATAATAAACTAGTTTGATATTGTATAATATAATTAGAACTAATTATACCGGGGGGGGGGGGGGGGGGGGGGGTATTGGAATCAGCATGTCGGTTTGTCAATATGAACTGCTTAAAACCAGTCGGACATTAAATCTCAAAAAAATCAAGTATTTTTTTTAAAAAATGTTTTATGGTAGATAGTTCCTACAAATCTAAGAGTCATGCAGTAACCTTATTAAAAATATTGCATCAAGATTACACAAGTTTTTGTTTCTTTTTATAAATCTTCGTAACAAATTAAAAAAAAAAATCTCTGTTTTCAACATAATAATATAAATATTCATTTTTATTACATTGAATACTGACTATTAAAGCAGATAGTGCAGATCCATTCATCCCTTGGGAGTAATGAATGGACATGCATACAGTTAAGATTATAATTAATGAGATCAATGTATAGGAAGGCTAGCTGTCTCAATCATTTCTGTTAGAGCATCTCTGATCAAGCAGCTCTTATCTGTATCCTTTGGGAATTAGACAGAAAAACTGCTTGTCAGTTTATAGCATATGTCACTTGATGGCCAGCCTTTTATTTTCAAAATTAATTTGGTATAGATTAAATTGTTAAGACTATTTTGATATTGTTTAATATGATATTTTTATTTAATTTTTTGAAAATATCAAATAAATATGATAGATTGGGGGGGGGGGGGGACATATTTATTATAATTAGTGCCTGCACTACAGGAAATGTATAAACATCAAATATTATAAGGAATGGAAAAATCATGCAAATCTTTGAATTAAGGTTGACATGATTTTCTTGCAGCCTAAACTGTTTAATTTATGATAATTGAACAATATTTGACGGGCGTATCATGCTGTGGCGAGGCACTTTATTTATTCTTAAGAATTGACTAAGTGAATGTGGTAAATACATTTAAAAAGTACCAATGGACATCATATTATCCATACCAACAGTAGTAATTTTTAATGAGTAAGATATTTTAATGAATTTTGTGGCACAGATTTCAGCCTTTCAGAAATGTCATGTTTTTTTTCTTTCTAGGTCAAACAAAAAAATTTAAAAACATGTTTTTTGTGTTGCTTGGAGATGATCAACAGCTTTGTTATTTAGAAAATGAAAAGGTATGATGTAAATCATTACTTGTATGGAAGGCGTACGTAGTTTGCTATCACAGAGTGTACCCAGTTTAATAACTATAAATGCAGTCTTTTATTTAAATGAATTCAGATACTAATATGTAGATATCCATGTCCCAGATATCTATAGATTATTATGATCTGACTTAAGAACATCTTCAAGGTTAAGTTGAATTAGTGGCTGAACTTTGCAACACATTCAAGTACTATTCAAATTTTAATTAGTGTGTTGCTTAGGACATAAAAATGTGTCACGATTTTATTCAGGTCATATCAAATCAGAGTTCATTTAATGCTTTTTTAGCTCTTCTGAGCCAAAGGCTCAAAGAGCTAATGCCATGGCCATTTGTGCGGTGTGCGTAAACTTTTTAGAATATGGGCCATAACTCAAGAACCCCTTGTCCAATTATTGTCAAATTTGTCACAGGGTATCCTTGGCCCAAGGGCTCCCTTTTGTACTAAAACTAGGGTTGTGACCCTTAAACAAGGGGAGATAATTAGGAAAATAGAAACAAAAGTACTGATTGCTAAAAAATCTTCTTCTCAAGAACCACTTCGCAGATTATCACCAAACTTACACAAAAGGATGAGGATATGTTGTAAATTAAAAATTGTTCAAGGCATCACCCTGGGGCAAAGGGTGTGGTCTCAAGGTCACTTCAAAGTTGACCAAAAATTACATTTTATTAAAATGTTGATATTTTGCTTACTATAAGGACTAGGATCATCAAATCTTGTCAGTTGATGCATCTAAGGACCTCATATCATGTTGACTTAAAAGTAGGTCACGGTGACCTACTTTTTAAATTTTGCGGCCATTCTTTTTCAAAATGATTTAGAGGTATATTTTGAACAATTTAAGGCCTTCGATCATCAAACTTTGTCAGTTGATGTATCTTGGGTCATCGAAGTACATCAACTAAAAAGTAGGTCACCTTGACCTACTTTTGAATTTTATGGCTAATCTTTTTCAAAACAATTAAGGTCAATAATTTGAATACTGAGAGGTTTAGAATCATGAAATCTTGCAAGATGATGCATCTTGGGGCCATAAAACATATGTATTAAAAAATAGGTCACAGTGACCTACTTTTTGAAATGTGCAGGCATTCGATTTCAAAGCGTTTTAGAGGAATAATTTGGACATTTTAAGGCCTATGATCATAAAACTTTGTAAGTTGATGCATCTTGGGTCATCGCAGTAGGTCGACTGAAATGTAGGTCACCGTAACCTACTTTTCAATTTATATAACTATAATTAAAAATTTCAGGTACTAATTGGCTTAGAATCATCAAACTTTGTCAGTTGATGCATCTTGGGTCTACAGAGTAGGTCAACTGAAAAGTAGGTCACCATGACCTACTTTTCAATTTATATGACTATAATTATACCCGCCGCAAACGAAGTTTAGGGGGGGTATATTGGAATCAGCATGTCCGTCTGTCTGTCCATCTGTATGTAGACGAGATTTTGTCCGGACCATTTCTTGGAAACTGTTGCAAGGATTTGTCTGAAAATTTGTACACTTATTATTCACCATATGAAGGTGTGCACCTGGTATTTTCATCATGATTGGATTATTTTTTTGCATTTTACAGGTGTTTTTTTCATTTTTATTATGTGGTTTTGTCCAGATCTGTTCCCAGAGACTATTGCATAGATTTGTATGAAAATTTGTACACTTATTATTTACCATATGAAGATGTGCACCTGGTATTTTCAACATTATTTGATAATTTTTCTGCATTTTACAGGTGCTTTTTTTTTTCATTTTTATTGACTTAGTCATTTCGGGTTCATGTCTAAGGTTTGAGACATAGAATCTAGAACATCTGTACACAAATGTGAACTACAGCTTAAAACTACTCATCAGAACTAAAAAAAAAATCACAAAGTATTAAAAACAGTTTTTACATTACACAGCAGAGAATGTAAATCTATTTGTCCCTTTGGAGTAATGAGTGGACATGCATCCAGTTAAAGATTGATTAATGAGTTCAGTGTTGGAAGCTGTTAGGGCATCTCTGATCAAGCAGGTCTTATCTATATCTCCTGGGAATTGGGCAGAAAAAAGTAAAGATCTCTGTTGTCTAAGCCTCTTAATATTGTAATTTATGTCTGTCAAAATACATAGTTACTGAAACCAGCCTTTTATTTTTAAAATGAGTTTGTTATAAAGGTATTAAGATCAATTTGACTTTGTATAATTAATTATGATATTTTTTTTTCAACAATCAATTTGCAGAGTGTCATGTCTCACAAAGATGACAGATAGTTGCAAACTATTTTTTCAATGTAATAAAAAACATTGTAATTATTAGTATTGATGTTTTATTAGGCTGCACATTAGTTTCATTCATTAAAAAAAATATAATGAGTAAATAAATTTTCACTCTAAATGTTTAAGCAAATTGTGAACACCTCTCACATCTAGAAAACATTAGTGATTTGGTACCTTCTCTGCAAAACCCAGCAGGGGGTATTTGTCCGTTTTGGACAGTTCTACTTAAATATTTCAGGTACTAATCAGCTTAGAATCATCAAACTTTGTCAGTTGATGCATCTTGGGTCTTCGGAGTAAATGAAAAGTAGGTCACCATGACCTACTTTTGAAAATTTATGGCTTTAATTAAATATTTCAGGAACTAATTGGCTTAGAATCATCAAACTTTGTCAGTTGATGCATCTTGGGTCCTTGGAGTACGACAACTGAAAAATAGGTCACCCTGACCTACTTTTGAAATTTTATGGCTGTATTTAATACTTTTTGGGTACTATTTGGATTAGAATCATCAAATAGAAGTGATAGGTTGTACAGTTTATCAGAAGGGCGATTCAAGGCCCTTGGGCCTCTTGTATTACTATAAGGAGATGGGCAAACATAGCGTGCAGAAAGCCTATAGCTTCAGATATATATAAATCATGTTCAGTTTGTGAATTTTGACAATTATCATTGTCTCATTATTGAAATTCATGAAATAATGATAAACAAAACTTTTCTGAGGACAATTTTCTCGGCAAAATTTATTCTTTTATTAAAAAAAAATTAATGTGGTATTCGTTGGGTTCGAACCCTAGCAATAAAAACCCTGAGTATCATTTTCTTTCGAGACTAGCACGCTAACCACTAGACTACACAAGTCCTGATGAAGAGTGGCATTTAAATCATGTTTGTGATATGACCCTTTACTTAATGGACTTCAAATATTTCTTGAAAAGATACGAATGTTATGTCATAAAAGTATATTTTTAATGTATAGTGGGTCATTGCTCCATATTTTTGGTAACCAAAAAATGTATATTTTTATGCAAACTTTGTGGATTAACTTTCAAAAAGGTGGAGCGAAGACCCACTCATATCGAAAAATAGTGTTATAGTATGAGAAAATGACTCTTTTTGCTCGCTTTGGTGTGTGTCTAATATTTCACAGGCAAATAATTTCACTCTTTGAGTGATTTTTGCAAATTGTAGAGATTTTACATAAAGTATATTTTAATTTTAGACGAAATATCAAGGAAAATTTTGATATAATTGAAATTTAATTTTTCATCTTGATGTTTGTCACACTATAGGCTTATTGCTCGTCATGTTCACCCATCTCCTTTAGTAGACTATGTTTATTTTACTGATCCATTATGTTGATCTATAATTGTAGAGGTCTCGTCCCAAGGGATTGATAGATCTTAGCTACAGTTCCCTTTATCCTGTTCATGACAGCTTTTTTGGAAGGTCAGTGTATTAGAAAATGACTTAGAATCTGTATTATTGCATATTTATTCCCAAGTGATTATGATCTCAATTTTGAATTTTGATTTGAACTTTTTTTTCATTTCAGGCCCAATTGTTTCCAGTTAATAACAAATTCATTTAATCATTCCCAAATTTACTATTTGTGTGCTGAGAATGTGGATTTAGCACAGGTATGATAATGTTGGTTTATTTGAATATTTGGAAAATTCACTTAATTCTGAATGTACTTATATAATTTGGAGAATTGAATATTTATTTAAAAAAAGGAGTATTCTGTCCATCATTTATTTAATGAGTACAAATTTCAGTATGAAATGTAATGAAAAATATATATGTTTTTATTTTATTTTTTTTTTCATTGAAATGTATTAAACACTATTGTTTATTTCTTCAACATATAAAGCCTTAATGACACCATCTCTTACTGGTATTTTAGAAATGGATCCAAAGACTCCGGCCTTACTGTGTCAATACAGCTCCCAGTTCCCAACAGCGATCCTCAGTTCTGAAGGAGTTGCGGTCTCTGACAGTGGAAGTAGTTGATGCTCAGAAACTGTCCACTAAACTTCTACCCCATCCTTACTGTATTGTTAATCTGAAGAACCCTAGTCTGAACCCCATCAAGGTGTGTCGGACACAAGTGGAGGAAGTCCTCAATCCAGTATGGGAAGAAAAATTTATTCTAGAGTGAGGGAAATTTATTTTTTGATTACTTACATGGTTACTTTTTTTTCTTTTTTGCATCAGTTCAATATATATAGGAAATGTTTTTCAGTTCTTCCTTCTTTTCAACCCTTTCAGTGTTTTTGTTTCTTCAATGAAAAAAATTGTATGTAACCTATTTATTATTTATACTACAGTGATGTACCATCCGATATAGAATCAATCAGCATTAGTGTTCACAATCATAGTAAAAGATTTATTGACAAGGAAATTGGAAAACCAATAGGTAAGTTTTTATGCCCTGAGATTGAATGGGACATATTGGGGTTTTTTCTTGTCTGAAAGTTTATCACTTTGTCATAAACTTTTAAGCTTCCTAATAACTTTTGAACAAATAAGTTTAATACAGAATTTATATTTGGCAAATATTTATAGTATAGAAATAAATGAGAGTTTTAATATGAAGTATTCACCTTGTTTATCTGTTTGTCCTTGCAATCATGCCCAGGCTATAACTTTGTAATTGAGAAGCATTGGATGCTCATACTTTACAAAACCATTGCTTATGTCCTGAGTATGTATCTTGACCTTAACTCAAGGAAATCTGGCCAAGTTTAAGCTCACTGGCAAAAACAAGTGTAAACCTTACCTTTTTAAGAAAGAAACTTTAGAAGTTCATACTTCACACAAAGGTTACTTTAAACTTCAGGGTGTATCAAGATCTTGAACCAAGATCATGTGGTCAATTTCAATGTCACTTTAAAAAAATTGAAAATTCCTGCCTGGAACGTGGTGTAATGGAGAAATACTTGACACAAAGAAAGATTATAAGTTTAGGGAGTGTCAAGATCTTGACCCAAGGTCATTGGGCAAGTTCAAGATCAGTGGCAGAAAAGTATAGTCAAAAACCCTCTAATGGAAAAATATTGGAAGATATCTGACAGAAAGATTGCTTATAAACTGAGGGTATGTCTTGATCCTGACTGAAGGTGATATTGGTAAGTTCAAGGTCTCCTGCAGAAAATATATGAAATTTATATCTGGTCCATAATTTTCTGATGGAGAAAGATTGGAAGTTCATACTTAACACAATGATTACTTTTGACCTGAGAGTGTTTCCTGACCTTGATTCAAGATCATTTGTTCAAGCTCATGGTTACTTTCGGAATGATGTATAATTCCTAAATGGTCCATTACTCTCTAATTGAAAAATACTGGAAGTTGATACTTCAACTAAAGATTGTTTATGATCAAAGGGTGTGTCATGACCTTGAACCAAGGTCATTTTTTGCAAGTTCAAGATACTTAAATATCAATATATAATTCCTGTTCAGGCCGTAATTTGCCATGGAGAAGCATTGGAAGCTCATTCTTGGCACAAAGATTTCTTATGAGCTGAGGCTGTTTTAGAACCTTGACTCGTTATTTGAGCAAGGTCAAGATCACTGGCAGAAAAAAAGCATATATTCCAAGTTCGTTTATCATTAGAAATGGCCACTCTCAGAGAATTTTTGTTAAGCAAACAACATCTTGAATTTCATGCAACATGAATACATTTACTTTACAGTTATGCATTTAAAGATCTGAAAGAAATGCATACATATAAATGATTAATAAATGTGTCATTTTTATTTGATTTTTTTTTCCTTTTCAGCTCAAATTTCTGTACAGTTAGAAGACATAAAGAGTCTTGATCTATTTGCAAAATGGTTTCCTCTAGTCCCAGTGAGCCCTACATCTCGAGGAGAGATGGGATCACTACGAATACGAGCTCGATATTTGCATGAAGTAATAATGCCAGAAGACAAATATTCTACACTTAAAGAGGTATGAAATCTTCTGTAAAATAGATTATCTGGAGTTTTATTGTGGTCCAAGTATACAAGTCTTCCTTGATAAGATACGAAACAATTCAACAGTACCATCTACATATATATATTAATCACAAGTGCTTCATTTATTTGACTATGATACATTTTTCATTAATTTGTATTTAATATTTATTTTTTTTTGCAGTTAATATTAAATGGAGATTTGATTAATTTACTGGAACTGTTTAACATCTGTGGTAATGACAGAATTCCCTTGGCCAAAGCTCTTCTTCAAATTTTCCGGCATGAGAAACAAGAAAAAGTTATACTTAAAACCATGAATGACCTTGAAATAGCCCGTGAAGGTAATTCTGTCTGTAACATCAACAAGAATATTTGTAAAAAAAAAAAATTGATATAAATTTCTTTTTATTTATTAAACCATAATTTTAAGAAACTGGCTCACTGCTTTAAGGTACATACCATTTAAAGTGGTTTAAAGAACTTTACCCACAATATGCCTCCTGTGACCTAGCAAATATGGAAATTTTAAAGAGAGCTATAGAAAGAAAGTTTTGGTAATTCTTAACCTAAGACATCATACATGTGATAATTTTAAGACTCAAATACTGTCCAGGAGCCTTGAAAATACTGGAATTGAGGTGAAAATTCTTAACATTGTTCATTAAAAAACTACAAAATACGTCAAAAAATCAATGTAAAAGGATCATTTTATTACTAAGTTTCAAATCAACAAGTGTGCCACAGCATGTAGTGTTAATTACTTATTGCAAGCAACTTTGCAGCTTTTAGAATTTCAAATTCAAAGTAATCTCCATGGTCAGTATTGAATTCTGTGAAAAGACTGTCAATAGTACAGTGTACTATACGTGAGTCTCTGTCTTCTGCATTTTTTTTTTCATGATAAAAAAAACATCTCTCTAACTCTGTTTAGAATGGACAATACTTATGGCACAGCAGAGCAGATAAGTTATGGATTAAATTTTGCCTTATCAGAGTTGCTTTGAGTCATGTCGTTTTCTCTTTTAAACATCTTTCTACTGAAAAAATTCTAAAAGTTATAACTGAAACCCCCTTATAAAAAGATTTCAATCTAAGAGAAGTTTTGTTGTTTTATAATAGTTGGAAAAGTTAAACACGTTTTCTTTACATTAACTAATGTTAAGCATAGTAAGTCTAGTGAGAATTAATGAAATATGCCCATTTCTGGTAAACAATTTAAAATACAGTACAAATTTTCATTCCCTGTGAATTTTGGTGTCCAGCCATGATTCCTGAATGGGTTAAAAAAAAGTGCATTACATGCAATTACATCAGCATTAATTTACAGTATATGGTTTATCTAAAATAGAATTCATGACTGTAAGATCTACTGGACATGGGGAGAGAGGGTGTGTTTGTCCACATATCGTATATCTGTCTCCCTTTGATGTGACATTACGTTCTGAAAAATGATGTTCCTCTCTTTCATATTTCAAACAAAACACTGCCATACTACAAAATCTCCTTTGAAAAAAGTGTAATAAATTTCAAAAAAAGAAAAGAAAGAAAGATGGTAATGAAAAGCTAAAAAGTCGACACTTTGTAACAAAAATCAGGTTAATTTTTGAGAGGGGGCCATTTTTTGATGGTTCATAGACCAAGCTCTTTATTAAATATTTTCACTGGTAAATTTCGGGGCATGGAGAAGATATTGAGAACACTCCATATCAGTTATACAGAATTATTTGTTTCCTTCAGACAATATGTCTACCCTGTTCCGAGCCACTTCCCTGGCTACTACTTTGATGGACCAATACATGAAGATGACGGCCTCACAGTTTGTAGCCACGGCCTTGAAAGACCCAATCATTCATATCACAGAGAGCAAGCAGTCTTGTGAGGTATGTCACAGTTATGACAATAATCTGAAGTATGTCACTGTAATAGATCCAATCTGCAACATCACAGAAAGTAAGCAGACTTATGAGGTACAGTTGAACTTCGGTATCTCAAACACTGATATCTCAAATACTATGGATATATCGAAGTGATTTTGTAGTCCTAAGTGCTTATATCTTAAGTGTTTTACCCTGGATATCTCGAATCCTCAGATATCTCGAAGTCTTTTCTCGGTTGCATCAAGTTTGAGATAACAAGGTTTGACTGTATCTCACTGTTATGACAATAATCTGAAGTATGTCACTGTAATAGATCCTGTCTCTAACCTCGCAGAAAGTAAGCAGGCATTTCTCTGTAGATGTCACTGTTAGAGGAGAAGTTAGCCTATAACATAATCATTCTAATCTAGTTACATTTAGGAGCATAATGAGCTGATTTTTGTGAGAAATGGTTTCTCAGAATCAAATGAACAAATCTTAAGGAGACATTTTCTGTTTAGTATATAGTGGTAGACAGATATACATGTATGTAGGGATTGCATTCTTGTTAGAAGAGTCCTTGTAGTTGACAAAAATGTTCTTAAACAGTTTAGCATATTTTATCTTTTCTGCACTCTACTCTGTAATATATTTGCACGTTTGTAATCTTTAAAAAAATGGTACATAGAAATTTATCAATACTTGTATGTGTAAATTTGTAGCTTAATCCTACAATGTTGGAGAGTGGAGGTGATATTGGAACCAACAGAGAACATTTCTTACATTTTCTGGAGGAGGTGACAGAATCCATATTTAGATCCACAGACAGCTGTCCCAAGTATGCTTTGTTGTCAAGAATGCTTAAATACTTGTGATTGATAATAATCTATACATGAAAATGGTGATTTACTACGATACATTGGTAAGAGTAATAATTATTAACATTTTTTCAGAGTTCTGCGGTACATATGTGGCTGTTTACAGCGAAGTGTGTCGGCCAAATGGCCAATGGATGAGAGTGTTCGGACGCGAGTTGTTAGGTCAGTGAGTGATTAAATCCTCTTACTTATATGTTGAACAGTTAGGGCAACACAATGTTTGGTAGTTTGCATGTACATTTGTTGTATGAATTTATATTGAGGTATATTTATTATTTTACAGTGGCTTCATTTTTCTGAGGCTATTATGTCCAGCAATCCTAAACCCAAAATCTTTCAATTTGATAACAGGTACTCTAATTATTTTGTTTGATTTGAAATTATTATGCTTGTATCTTTTTTAAAACAATTTTCTTGTTACATTAACACAATCTTGTGTGCTTCTCTTATTTTAGAGACACCATCAGAAGTGGCCTGCAGAACATTAAAACTAATTGCAAAAGCATTACAGAACCTGGCAAACCTGGTGGAATTTGGAATCAAAGTTAGTCACTTACTTTGGTTAAGTCATTGAAATACATGTACAAGTAGATCGTCCAGTTGGTATTTTCTTAACATGTCTCTTAGGGGGTATTTCAGAGTTGAGAACATGACATGAAAAGTAGTCTTTCTTTCAACAGGAGGCTTTCATGGAAGTGATAAATCCATTTATCAAGAAAAACAAGCCTAGAATGATCAAGTTTTTAGATGAGTTGTCTGTAAGTATTCCTATCAATTTATTGATGCTTACGGAACAATTAGGAGATAGATACATGTATGTATTAGTCTGGGAATGGTCCAGCTTCAACAGTTAAGTACTGCAACCTTTAACCATTACCAATACAAGTTGCAATTATCAATATTTTCCCCAAGACATACATGTATCTGCTTAAATTTCTCTATTGAATAAAGTTTTTTTTGTGGAGGAAAATCTGTCTTTTGATTTAAAGTTTTACTTTGAGACTATATTATAAATTTGGACAGAATACAAATACTGTTGAATTTTTAATTTTGACATTCAGCAGTCATTTCAAGCTGGTAATGTTGAGGCTTAATTCAGACTTTTCAAGACAGACATTTAAATTAAGAAAGAGTGAAGGGCACTTTTGTGTAAAATATGGATATCAAGTTATGAATTTTTTATTTAAACCACAGCAGGTTGATGACAGTCAAACATCATCAGAGAATTCTTTGCCAGTTGACAGTGTAACTAGAGACTTGGCTACCATGCACACAATATGTGCCACCCACCAATTAGAACTCAGGAAACAAGCCGAGACCAAGGTGAGCTTCCCTTAATTAAAAAAAAAAGTTTTAATAGATTTTCAGCTTTCATTCTGAGAGCTTAGCAAAATATTATACTATAAAAAACAAAAGTGTAGAACAAAAGTAAAAGTAAAAAATATTTTTGGCTTTGATATTGTTTGCAAATGCACATACTTAGGCAATCATGAATGACTTTACAGATATGAAGGTATCAATTTTTGTTTTGATATGTACATTTGAACTTGTCAAACCAAATATTGATAAATGTACATTTGAACTTAGTTATCTTAAACATTGATATCTTGAACACCAGGGAATAAGTCAAGGTGAGTTGGTAGTCCCAACTTTTTTTCAGCCTTGTTATCTTGTTCTCTCAATCCACGGATATTTCGGAGTTAATTCCGGTCTCGTCAAGTTAGAGTTATGTGGTTTGACTGCATGTTATGTAGTTTTTTTCATCCAATAATTAACAAATTAATTGGGCAAAATACATAGAATATTAAAAAATGTTTCCAGTGATCAAAATCCTACTACTTTTGCAGCCCTCATTAAAGAAGTTAGTAGCAGTCACAGACATTTTAACAGACCACAAGAAGCGATACATGACATGATGAATGCTGAGGGTGGTGCATTATTCCCTATTGTTTGGTCTCCACAAAAGTCAAGGACATGACAATGGAGGATTCATTGTCCTGAATGGCCCACCTCAGGAATGCCGGCAATCATGTTGGACGATATCATCTTCAGTCCCAAAATAGTGACAGGGATTTGACTATGGTCTACTGACTTCCTTCCATGTTTCAAGCTGAGGCAATTGCAATAGACAACAAACACTTTTTCCATGTTTGTACATCATTGATCAATCATTCAGAAAACATTGTTGACTGGCTTGTTGCTTGTTAGTTAAATTCATAATGAGCTTATATGTAAACATTGTTCTTGAAATATTTCACTTTGAAAATGGCATTATAATGAGAGATTGTTATAGTTGATTGCTTACAGAGTTTAGTTGTTGTGCTGAAGAAGATAATTTATTTTAATTTGGAATACAGCTGTATGTACATGTATGTGTGTGAAAGAAGAATATAAAGTTATGTTTAGAGAAATCAAGCTTTCATTTTACCAAAGAATGTAAAGTTCTTAAATGAATGATATTTTTATCTAGTCTCAAAGATTTTTTTTTAATTATGGTGTTGATTACGACATTAAAAATGAAATGTAATACTGATATAAATATATATTTGTTTTGAAAGAATGGTTGCATTTAATTGGAAATAGAAATAATTTATTATGGGCAGTATGACAATCAAGTTGAAACAAAAAAATGAATAGTTTAAATGAATAAAAATTTAAATTCCCCTCACAAGTAAAGTTCCAGAGGGGGGTTCCTGGAATCAACATGTCCATCTGTCTATCCTGAAATACCTCTTGTCCGGAAAAAATAAAACATTTTTTTTTAACTTTGTAGAAATAATAAAAACTATTTAAACATGTGCACCTGGTATTTTTAGATTGTTCTCAAAATTTTAATTAGTTGTGGCTTTTTAAGTTTTTTTTGTACATACCCCAGAACACTGTATCTTGTGTGGAAGGAATGAGAAGATGTATCTCAAACTCATACTTATCACAAAGACAGCTTGTGTCCAGAGGTATGTCATAACCCATCACCAAGGCCATTTAAATGAGGTCAAGGTCAAAGTGTGCAAAAGTATTACTGTTCTAGTCACCATTTTGAAATGGAGAAATATTAGATGCTGCTACTTAAGATAAAAATTACCAGTGACATGAAGGGATATCCTGTCCCTAACCAGGATAATTTGGACAAGAGGATTATGATCTCAGGATGTGTCATGATCCAAACAAAGGTCATGTAGACAGGGTTCAGAAGTGTTAAAAGAAATATAAAATTTTTAAATAAAACTTTGTATTGGAGGAGAATCATGAGTCATACTTCATACAATGATTGTAATCAAGAGGAATTCTTAACTTTGGTGGTTTGGACAAGGTCAAGGTCATATGGCTCTGAAGTAAATGTTGATTTTTTAATGCTTCGAGTATTAGTACATGTACTATTAGGGGAGTTCTAACTTCTAAATCTGTAATTTTTTTAATTCTTTGGGTTTGGCAAACAACTTTTTTCCCTGTGCAATGCTATTTTAGAAAAAAGAGTTTTTATGAATGCAGTGCACTCGGCATGATGTACGAAAAATGCAGCTTTTTCAAAACCTGGATTTTACTTCCACTTTAAATAAAACTAAAAATTAAAGGAAAAAAAATACTATAAAATCTTTATCTAAGAGAAAGCAGAACTTCTATATACCTTGATGAACATTTTACTAGTATTTGCAGCATGGCAAAAGAAATTTAGAGAAAAAATCCACTGAAAGAGGGGCCTTTTTAGGGATAAGTGCAATAAATTTCTTTTCTCTGAGTATGGTGTTCATCTTGCTTGTCCAAAAATTTCATTATTCATGTTTTTTATATCATCATTTTGACCTATTTCATAGTTGAAAACTCAAGATTTCCTTGGTATGCACTTGCTTTCTGGTGTAACCATATGATGAAATAAATAATTAAGATTTGATTCATTTGTTACTTTGAATTATTTCATGACTCTTAGTGTGCCAAGGATGAAACGTATGGAACAACTTCTGGTACACTTCAAATATGAAAATGTTCACGTAAGGCCAAACAAAAAAATATGTTTGTTTACTGTTACATGCTGAAATAAAATAGGGTCGGTAGGTAGGATTTTTTTTATTTATTTTACTGAATTTTTTTATACACAAATTCACATTGGTTGAAATACAAAACACCATTATGCGGTGCTTTTTTGTTAGTACTTTCAATTTTTGACTTCAAATGCTTGACTGATTAAGATGCATGTACAAGTTAAACTGACTGGCGAGTGACTTCGGGATTTTTATGACGAAAAAAATTTGAGTCGGCGATTAAATATAGGGTCGGTTGGGTAACCGTAAACAAACACATTTTTTATTATGCCTAAACCAGTTTTTCAGGCTATGGCTCCAGTTTATAAATAAATCCAAGATTGTTAAATAATAAGGGGGTATATTTTAGCATTTGGTATTAGAGTATATATGTTTACTGGTCCTTTCAAAGAGAGTCTAAGGTCAATGTATGTGTGTTCCCAGTGATGATCTGTGAAAGAAAATGGCAGAGGCTTTCTCTTTGCTCCTAAGATTTTAAGTGTTTTACATGCTTTCTGTTGATTTTCACTAATTTGCTTCCATTTCTTGCATTGGTTATAAAAATGGAAAAACTTTGCAGGATCAATAGTTGGGAAGAAATACTCAGCTGGAGCTAAGTAAGTTCCATTCACATGCACATCTGGGTATGAGTATTCTCCCTTGAAATCTCTGTATACTGATGTTACAAAATGAGGTCCTGTGCTATCCAGGACATTCCACATGTGACGGAAAGAGGGCAGTTTGTCCATCAATTTCTTCATGAAAGGATGCTTTGGTCTACAGCCAAGTATTGCATTTATCACCAAATTTTCAAAGTTCCCATCTAGAAGAGGGTGTTCATATGGCTCTTGTGATACAAAGCATGCATATTTCTTTGTAAAAGGCTCGAGAGATTTTAAACTTTCTAAATCCATATCAGCATAAATCCCCCCAAATTCATACATTATTACATATCGCAATGCATCAGCTCTTCGTATCCCTTCAGTATAACTATCAAAGATGTTTAACAAATATGGATGCCTTTCTTTAATGAGCTGTCTTGCACTTTTATCTGTCCACAAATAATATGTCCAGTCGGGATGGTTTTTGACCCATGTTTGAACCCACTTTGAAAATTTACTAGGAATATCCTCAGTTTTCCAAGTCTGATGTATTATATGAGGAATCCTTACATTGCCATCTGTTGGAAAAGCCTCTGGTTCCCTTATTCCTAAAGGCACAAAGTCGGGTTCCACTGGAATGTCAATGTCATAAAATGCCCCATTTTGTTTTATTTGCTCAAACTTGATCAGAAAATGTAGAGCAATTAAGAAAATAATGCCATGACAAAGGGTTTTTAATGTCTGAGGCCTGCTGAGTGCCACTATAAATTTTCTATGCTGTCTCATCCTGAAAGATAAAACATAATTGGTTTGAATGAAACAAGTTGGCTTGACATACGCAACAAAATAAAGCTCAAGGCACATGAATATTAACTTCGATTGCTCACAGGTGCCTGGGTCTTCGTTTATAAAAATGTATATATACCAATATTAACTGATTGATATAGGTCTTTTCACATATCAATAGGTATATACATAATACATATTCATAAACCAAGATCCAGGTACACGTGAGACTGCTGACAACAATCAATAAAGTAAAATTATGATAGAACCAACCTTTCAAACTCCAATCACATCGGTTTGATCAGAAGCTGCATCTCCAATAAATAAATAAATACATCGGGTTCATGCCGCAGTTATTCGAAACCACTAAATACCCCCAAAAATTTGTTTTCAAATTTTAATCCCTTTTTCACTCCCTTTATTTTAAATATAGCAGTGCATGACACAACTCATTATTCTAAATAAATCAGTTTATAAAAATATAATTTATTATTTATAATCTGTACTTAAATCGTTCGGGGCAATTTTATATATTAATTTTGCGTCTTTTAGGACATCTTAAATACAAAATTTACCTCCAATGCACAACTCTTCAGCCAGCTTTCAACATGGTAAGAATGCAAACTCATTGTGATAGTTAGAGTGTGATGTTGCATATATACGTCCTCTGTTAATATATGTGTAGTAGAACAACCTAGATTACGGAGTTTTTTTAATTTTTCTTCGTTGTTAATTTTGTTGGAATCACACAGTATCGCCGATTTATATATTTACCCCCCCCCCCCTTTTATGTGAAAAGGTACAACAAATATCTTACCATAACCAACCACTGATAACATGTATAATTTTTTGTATTTTTAGTCTCGAAGATATGATTCGCGAACAACTATATTTTCTCCAGAAGGTAAATATAATTCCTTTTGATTGTTAAATTATATTATATATGTTTCATATTTGGATATTTTACTTGAAAAAGACATTAATGGTATTCTAACAACCAAGCTTTATGATAAATGTGATGACTTTAACTTTTCAATCGTCAACTTCCCTTACTTATGCAGCAATATACCTTCATCACCTGGACACAGGGTTTATATCTCTCAGTTGATTTGATACGCAAGAGCATGCTCTACGTATGTACAATTTCTAAAACGAGGAAATTATCGAGAAACAAGTTGATGAAACAAGAATATCAGCAGTCTCGTTTAAAGTCATCATTTCGTAAGTTCTATGGTCGATACAATGACCTTGTCAGCAAATACAATTCATCATTGAGTCAAATGCTGACTGATGTTTTTCATACTAATTGTTAGACCGTTATTTACACACTGAATTGTTGACAGATTTTTCTGTTATTTCCCGTTCATGACAAGGAGCACACTGTGGGTGTGACCGGTCGGCAGGGGATGCTCACACCTCCATGGCACCTGATCCCACCTCTGATGTTTTGGAGGTCCGTGTTTGCTCTGCTCCTATTTTGTATTATTTAATGGACTTTTGAGCTTGAATATTGTTCGTTATCTCCATATATTTCATACAAAAGTGGCCATTATACCATTTTGTTATACAGTTTTATTCAATTCTTAGGTTTAATAATCAATGACAGCAAAAGCTTGTAAGATAACTTTAGTACACATTCACTAAAATGCCCTTTAATCTCATTCTTATTTATGAATCTTTGAAAATTTTCACAGCACATTGATTTAATCTGCAGTTTTATTGATTTGATTTTGTAAATTTTGTTGCCTATCATATATACTGTAAAAGCAGAATTATTCCTTGGTTATTAAATTTCATTGATTTATTTATTGATAAAAATTATCAACAATGAAATTAAATCACACACAAAATTTTTATATGACTATATATTGAATAGGATTACTTTTGAAACACATGAAATTAAATGTCAATAAACCCTTTTTAGAAGACAAATCAACAGAATTTCATAGCCACAAAAATTTTTGCTTCTACAGTAGCTTTTTTATAATTTACAGGGAGACTCTACCAGGTCGAGTATGCCATGGAGGCCATTGGACATGCTGGAACCTGTCTAGGTATACTAGCTAATGATGGTGTATTATTGGCTGCTGAAAGACGCAATACAAACAAACTTCTCGATGAGGTGTCATACTCGGAAAAAATTTACAAACTTTACAAGTAAGTAGACAAATAATCTCTTTTAATGAAACTTGGAATGGTACTGTAAAATTTAATGTTTTTAATTCCACATGTTTAATATTTCACAATTTTCTACGCTGGTTCATTTCCCAGTGGTTTTGATTTTGCAATCACTGAATTGTTAAATGTTTGTCATTTTAAAAATTATTGTTTAGAAACAAAGAAAGTTATAATGGTAATTGATTTTGAACAATGTATCCAGTAACTACAGTTAAACTTGGTTATGTCAAACTTAATGGGGCTCAGAAAAAATTTTGAGAAATACAAGGGTTCAAGATATGGAGGGTAAAATACTTATCTACATGTATATTGGAATAGGAAAATGGGGTTTTAAAGTTTATGGCATGTATTTGATATATGAATGCTACATTGATATGTTGACAATATTCATGATGGCTTACCGGTATAATGTTCACAGAAATTTTGATTGCAAACATAGTGAAATTAAACCACTCTCAGACAGTACATATTTAACACATCTAACTTCGGTACTTTTTTTTCTTTGTAGTGATATGGCATGTAGTGTTGCTGGAATCACTTCAGATGCAAATGTGTTAACAAATGAACTTCGTCTTATTGCACAAAGGTATATTTTAAATATTTAGCAAACAAGTATTTGTCTTCTCATTTAAAATGTATTGTTTTTCATTTTCCAACATTTTCCTCTAAGCAGTTGTAGTAGCAAATATTATGGTAAAGTGCTTCAATCTACTCCTGATCTTTTAGGTATCACTTACAGTATCAAGAACCTATACCATGTGAACAACTTGTTAGTTCATTGTGTGATTTAAAACAAGCATACACTCAGTTTGGAGGTAAGTAAACTAAAACTGCTTTGATGATATCTAAAATATGCATTTTATATTGTAATGTTAATTTTTAACAGAAGGAATACGTGTATAATAGTTATAAGGTCACTTTTCAGTAGCCGTTTTAGAGCTGGGTAGATTGTATATATATTCAGTCAAACCTTTTTATCTCGAATGTAATGGTAAACATCTTGTTTTTTTTCTAAGGCCTTGTACTGTAGATTTGGAAATCGAGCACAATAATTTTAATTTCACCCTATTCAAACACATTATATATAGCATATAATTAAAACTATCACAATTGTACATTTGTAACAAATCATGAAATTTTAGCAACTTGTAATCAAAACGACTTTAATACAGTATTACGTCCATAATTTTCTGCCAAGATATTGACAGTGATAATTTTTCCTAGGTAAGCGACCATTTGGAGTTTCTTTGTTATACATGGGATGGGATAAGCACTATGGATTCCAGCTGTACCAGAGTGACCCTAGTGGAAATTATGGAGGATGGAAAGCAACATGTATTGGAAATAACAGTGCTGTAAGTTTACTAAAAAAAATGTGAGGTTCTTTTAATTCCTATGAGGTGTGAGTTTAACTTAATTTTTTTTTATCAGATTTATTTCTTTGATACAGTATTTGAATATTAAATTGATGTGATTTTGGATAGAAATAAATGTATCATAGAGATATTCAATCCATTTTATCATCGATATATTTTTTCAACAGAATGCTGTGTCCATGCTGAAACAAGAGTATAAGGAAGGAGAAATGTCACTGAAAGATGCCTTACTGTTAGCTATAAAAACCCTCAGTAAAACATTGGACATGACAAAAATTACAGCTGATAAAGGTACTGCAATACTAGTGTAGAATTTTAGGCTGGACTGTGGATATCAGCCTGGATAGCTCAGTGGTTAGAGGCTTTGATGGGTAATGCAGGGATCCCAGGTTTGACTCCTGGTTCAGCCATATGTTTTTCATTATATATTAATGAATTTTCAATGTATGTTCACTCATTCCTCCTTTCCATACTACAGATGGTGCCGTGGCCTTCCTTGTTCAGGCATGATAAATATAAAATAATGCTAAGTCCTGACAAGGTGAACTTCTGTTGTGTCTTTGGGGGCAAAAACTATTTAAGGAGGGAGGAATGTAGAAATTTAGGCTGGACTGTGGTTATTGGCCTGGGTAGCTCAGTGGTTAGAGCACCTGACTAGTAAAACAGGGGTCCCAGGTTTGATTCCTATGTTTTTCAATATATATATTTATAAATTTTCAATGTATGTTCACTCATTCCTCCTTTCCATACCATACTAGTTCGCAAACACTGAACAGAAGTGTAATACAGTCAAACCTCATTATCTCGAACTCAATGGGACTAGGAAAAAACTTTGAGATATCCAAGGATTTGAGATATCCAAGGTAAAATACTTCAAGAATAAGGGGTGGACTTCAAAATCACTTCGACATATCCGTGGTATTTGAGATATTGGTGTTCAAGATATCAAAGTTCAACTGTATTTAGAATATATATGTACAATGTAGGATTATTTATTTAGTATTTTTTAATACAAAGGTTGATAAATTTCATTGAAGAGTGAAAGAAGAGTTACTGTTCTTACATTCAGATACATATTAGAATTTTTAACAAACAGTTGAAATAGCTACACTGACAAGGGAAAATGGCAAGACAAAGATGACGATTCTTGGAGCTCCAGCTGTGGAGGAAATCATTAAAAAACATGAAGAGATTGAAGCTAAAGCAGAAGCAGAGAAAAAGAAGGAAAAGTCTTAATTGTAGGTCATTAGTAATGTCTTATAAAGGGATTTTTCATTGGAAGAGTTATAACATTCACTTCAAAATTCCGTTTTGATTACAGTACACTCTTTATTTGTTCAAGTTTAACAGTATTTTTGCTGTTCAGTCAAAACTCATGAAATTGCAAAATATCCTTATCTTCTCCAATCAAAACAAATAACGGGAATCAATTAAAAGTACAGAACTATAGGTACAGAAATATAGATTGTTTGTAGTTCATTGGTTTTGCAAAAAAAAAAAAAAGGTTGATTATGTAACACTTTGAATTAAAATATTTATTTTCTTTCAGGACATTCAGAATAGAAGAAAGCTGTCAGTCTCCTCTAGTGTTGTCACCTCACTCTTGTGTGAACAAGAACATTAGTGCTGTTGTACATACTGTGAAGCATCATTTTATCTGATCTTTGTCATTAAATATATTATAATGATAACTTGACTTAAGTTTTGCTGGATTAACAAGTTGATGTTAAACTTGGGCAAAAAAATATAGTTTGCTTTACATATAATGCTTTTGGACTGTCAATTTTCCTTTACATGTATTTTTCTTGTTTTTGTTACATAGATTTTGTCCAAGTCATGCATCTTTCAACTTTTGCACATTCTCAGTGCAAATCCAATTTCAATCAATTTTGGCACATAGCTTCCGTAAAATCCTGCTTGAATGGAAACAAAAAAGTATTTGCATATTTATACTGGTCAATGAGCCATCTAATTTCATGCCTCCTGGCTCCATAGTAAAGGATGAAATGGAACTAAGTTTGAAAATGCTTAAATTTTGTTTCACCTAGTCTTTCAGTAATCTGTTGGTATGGGTTTTGGGTTTTGTCTCTCATCTTTTATTGAAATCCTTTGAACCAATTTCCGCCATTTTTGATATGCTACATATGTACATAAAGTATATACAATAATGTAAACTGAAATATCAAAGAAAATTGTGTTATAATTGAGATTTAATTTTTCACTTGTTTATCGAACCATAGGCATTTTTTTTTGGGGGGGGGGGGGGGGGAGGGGGGGTTTCGCCCATCTCCTTTAATATTATTAATCTGATATTCAGTATAACTGCATGAAATTTATAGGAAACTGCAGTTTTCCAAGGAAGGTTTTATATGTAATACTTAAATGAGCATATATCAGACAATGATAAGAAGGGAAAAAATGAATATTGCATAGGGGGTGAGTGAACAAGGCGTGCAGAATGCCCATAGCTTCAGTTATGTAAAAAATCATATTCAATTTGTGAATTTAGCATTTACAGTAAAGTTCTCTTTATTGAAATTTATGAAAATATGATAAACACAACTTTTCTGAAGAAAATTTTCTAAACAAAAATTATTCTGTATTAAAATAGATCTTGTGGTATTCCTGGGGTTCGAATCCTAGCAATAAAAATCCTGACAATCATTTTTCTTTCGGACTAACGCGCTAACCAGTACGCTACACAGCTTCTGATGAATAGTGGCATTTAAATCATGTTTGTGATATGACCCTTGACTAAATGGACTTAAGGTTTTGCCAAAGGTCAACATGTACAAAAAATTATTTTTACAATAGCTCCAAAACTATGTGGTTTAAAACGTTTACAGTTTATAAATATATCATTGATAAATAAACAGATAGAAAGTATCACTTGATAACAAATACTTAAAAAAAATATTTATCGAGAAAAATTCTTTTTAAAAAATGCATATATTTTTTAAAAAATACGCCTAATTAATTCCGTACTTTTAGTGAAAGCCATCATTGCAGAAACAATATATGTTTATGAATGAAGGGCAATTTGGACTTCGACAGCCTCTGGAAAGTTGATTTCCCTGTTTATTTTGTCCAAATGTTAAGATTTGAAACCGAAAGTACATTGCAAACGGCGGATTTTATAGGGGTCTTGTCTTTATACATGCCATGCTCTCAATAACAGACTTTCAGAGACCATTCACGTCCAACTTGCCCTTCATTGATAAACATATATTATTTCTGCAATGATGGTTTTCACTAAAAGTACAGAATTAAGCAGATGCTATTTTTTTTAAATATGCTAATTTTTTGGAAACTTTTTTTTTCTCAAAAAATATTTTTTTTTTTTAAAAATATTTGTTTTCAAGTGATACTTTCTATCTGTTAATCAATAATATATTTATAAGCTGTAAAAGTTTTAACTTTATACCTCACATACTTTTGGAGCTATTGCAAAATTAAATTTTTGGACATCTTGACCTTTGGCAAAACCTTAAGTATTCTCGGAAGATGCGAATGTTATGTCCTAAAAGTAGATTTTTAAGGTATTGTGGGTCATAGCACCATGTTTTTTGTTAACCAAAAAATATATGTTTTTACACAAACGTTGAGGATAAACTTTCAAAAGAAAATGGAGCATAGACCCACTCATATCGAAAAATTGTGTTATAGTATGAGAAAATGATCCTTTTTGCCCTCTTTAGTGTGCGTATGCTATTTCATAGGCATATACTTTCAATCTTCCTGAGATTTCTTCTAAGTTTGATAAAATATCGAAGCAATTTTTGTTACAATCGAGGTTTAATTTTTCAAATTCATGTTTGTCGCATACGAAAGCCTATTATGATCATCAATGGAGTAAAAAATTAAAAGGCGTTATAACGCCTTTTGAAAAGGCGTAATAACGCAAAAAAAGGCGTTATTACGCCTTTCAAAAAGCCGTTATTAAGCCTTTCAAAAAGGCGTTGTTACACCTGTTTAAAAGGGGTTATTATGTCTTTCAAAATGGTGTTATTACGTCTTTTCTAAAGGTGTTATTATACCTTTTATTTTCAATGCATGTCTAAGTAAGCGCACCCTGGGGGCTGAATTCTTACCCTCCGGACATGAATTTCACAATTAAATATAGGGCTTATTTCTCAAAAAATAATTTAAACAGATTGTAATTAGATTTCCAGGGGGAAAAATTAAATTGCGTAATAGATTTTCAATGTTAAACCAACTTAGTCCTTCTCTGATGCCAGACACCTCTACCAAGGGTCATGGATTTCACAAATTTGGTTGAAGGCTAATTTCTCATTATACCCATGCAAATAGTTTGCCTGCTTTTTTCCAAGAGGATTGATTGATTGAATGTTGTGTTTTATGTCCCGTTTGAGAATTTTTCACTCATATAGAGACGTGACTATATACCGGCGAAGGGTTTCAAATTTAGATCTTTCCTCGGCACTCAGTGCCATTTAGCAGTGAGGGTTCTTTATCGTGCCAACGCCTACCGTGACACGGGGCCTCGGTTTTTAAGGTCTCATCCGAAAGACCCGCAACTTTCACTTCAAAGTGCCGAGCGCTTGGCGAAGGAACAGTTGCTACCTATTTTTTATCAACTTAGGTCAGTCGCGGCCGTGATTCGAACACACGACCTTCCGATCACGGAGCAAGCGCTCTACCGACTGAGCTACCGTGACGGTTTTTCCAAGAGGAGAGAAAAATATTTTCAAATTTGACATGAATTTTTAATACATGGCCAGCAAAGCCCCAAGCTGCATCTGGCTACAAATTGTATATCCTGGATTTTCATAAGTAGAGTACTGACTTCTTTTAATATGCATGCAAACAGATGTCTGCGAGATGTGCAGGAATATAGAAAATACTTTGAAATATTGCATAAAAAAGATGGCTGTGGTTCAATTTTTCATATATTTATTAACATAAAATAACGCCTTTCCATTTTAGATATAACGCCTTTTCAAACAGGCCGGTAGTACGAGTGTAAGTGAGGGGGGAGGGGTTCCCAGGAGAATAGTCTTGCTATAGTTTAAATATAAAAATTCATTTATTGGCTGCTTGGTCCCTGTACATTTTGTTGCAGTATGGTCAAACTCTGGCAAATTATTGCATTAAAAAAAGTTTTATCGAAAAGTTAGAAAAAGATCCCCCTCGAGTTTAGGCACTTTGGGGGGGGGGGGGGGGGTGTTTCTTGTTTTTTCTTTGCTTGTCATTTTTTGGGAGGCTTTCCCCTTACCTTTTTCAAAAGCACAGGCCTGTCAAAGACATAATAATGGCTATTCAAAAGGCATATATAATAACGCCTTTCCGAAAGGCGTAATAACGCCTCTTGAAAAGGCATCATAATGCCTTTTGGAAAGGCGTAATAACGCCTTTTTGGAAAGGCGTAATAACGCCTTGCAATTTTTTTCTCCTTAGATTGATCCTAATAGCTAGGCTTTCGTAGTCTCACTATAGGCATTTCGCTCGCCTTGTTGGCCCATCTTCTTTGTTATATTTACTTTGCAAAATAGTTAAGTAATATATACCGATTTATATAACAAATTACGGATATCATGATCTATAACCGGCATAGTTTTACTGTAACAATACATTTGAAGAGAGCAAAAACTCCGTTAATGCGCACATTAATTCAGCAAAATCAACAACTGATTTAAAAATAATTCAGAATTGAAGCTGAAAAAAAAATTGATGAATCAGATATTTTCAATCATTTGAGTTTATATTCATTTTGCTCTCTATGTAAGTGTTTCTGCTTACATAAAATAGTACTTTACGTGTATATTCAAAGAAACAATCCTACATTATACATACAGGTGTCATTGATCACACGTCTGTAGAATTAATATACATAACGCTTCTTATCTTAATTCCTCTATAGGGTTAGAGGGAATCACCTTTTGGTAAGACCTTTCAAAGTGCAATAAATGTGGAAGGTGTTGCATATTATTGAGTGTTTATAAAAATTCTCCAAATTTACTAACACGGTTCATATATTATAAGGAGATTCATTCAGGAATCGCTCTAATATTAAGATATTTAAAACTCGTATAAGATCTATATGTGTTTTATAAGTTGTTAGCACACTTAGTGGTAGCACGGATAGTGGGGAATACTTAGGATTTGTTGGTTTTGCCTTTCAGATTTTGTTATAAATAACTTTGTTAGGTAAAAGTACCATTAACCACTCTTTATTTGTGATAAAGATAAAGAAATTTCCGTAAGATTCTAGTCTCTGTCAAAAATCATCAACAATTTTAATAAAATACATATAGGGTTTTAGTCAAATTTTGCGGATAAAACAATTGGATTACAGTAGATGCATTCAATAAATCTGATATCTATTTTAATTACATCTCTCTTGTAATCAAGATATTTGCAGGTCAATCAGTTTATTGTGTGTGAAAACATGTAATCAACGGTCCGATAGTACTGTAAGTACATTTTCTACAATTTTAGTAAGTTGCTGTCGCAGACGTTGCCAGTTATTTAGAAGAGATGAAATCGTTAGTTGTCATCCCCCTTATCTTCCACGTGGCGTTTTCATATATATTTCTGGAAAAACTGTCTCACACAAAGCTCCCCAGCAGGGTCACGCCCTCAGAGGTTTATCAAATGTTCGGCGGAGCTGCCGAGGAGGCCGCTTATGACAAACAGCGACGAATTCTATACGTAGTTGGTAAGCATGTTTTGTTTCAATGTTTAAAGTCTCAACTGACGTAGCTTTTAAGGGATTTTAAAAGCTCATCTTTCCAAAGATGTTAAGTCTTTAATAATTATGAATTATGATTGCCATCATTACCTACTTAGCCTACAATACCTCTTTTTACGAATTTCAGCTTCCAAATGGCAATAATCGTCCAATAATGAAATTCTATTTCTATTGTCAGGTGAAGAATCTCGCTTACTCCATTTGATGGACTTGGCAGATCCAAAGAACCCCGTGTTAGCTACAAGCTACCAGTTTACACCTAGCGACGGAACACCACGTGACGTAGCTGTCTGTGGTGACGAGGTTGCTGTTGCTGTGACATCAGGAATCAGAGATGTTTATGAGGGCCATGTATATTTCTTTCATGCATTTTCTGCCGGGGATCCAGAACTGAAGTTTGACGGAAAACTTCCAAGTAAGAAAAAAAGCTGTTTTTGTTGCCTTTCATTTAGCAGATACCCAAAAACTCACCACTGCTCAATCATGAATAAACACTGATTTTTTAAATGTTTTTTATGTGTAGCTGGATACTTTCCGGACATGTTGACATTTACCAGTGACTGTAAGAAAATTCTGGTAGCTAATGAAGGAAGGCCAGGAAAAGATATCAATAATGTTTTCGTGGATCCAGAGGGATCTGTTACGATCATAGAGCGGGAGAGGACAGGAAACCCGTCAGAGCGAACAGTTTCCTTCAGCGGTCAAAACCAAAGGTTAACCCCCTCCCCTTTTTAAAAATATGTTTGACAATAAAAGCACAACAAAACAAAACAAAAAAATCACACACCCACACATCCACACCCTCACACACACACACACACCCTTCATATCAACACCACACACAACCACCCTCTCTCACACACATACACACACAATGTTTACCTCAAAAAGGGGGGAATTTATTCATAAATTCGTGTCCAAACTGCATTTTGTGATAAGACTGATCCGTCCCTTTCTATTGTAGATTTGATTTGAGGTTTCCCACTCGATATATACCTCAGAATGTATGGCCAGGGACGGCCAACCCAACCTTTGAACAAGACGCTACACCAGAGTACATAGCTATTTCCCCGGATAATAAATACGCTTACATTATTTTACAGGTAATGTTTCATTCTTTAATACCTTTCTCCTTTCTTACATGATCAATAATATGAATTATATAGGTGTGTTTAAACTAAAAAATAAAAAAAAAACATAGACGAAGAAAAAAAGACACAGCAACAAGTACAAGAAATACGAAATATAATACTGGTAACCCAGGTGAGGCAAAAGTGAGGAAATTTCCTTTCACTAAGGAAGCTATAAAGGGCATTGCGTTTGAGATGTTATTGGTTTTTTTTTTTGGGGGGGGGGGGCATGTATTTTATGTTGCTAATCTACAGAACATAGCAAGGGACAATGCTCTTGGATAGGATATGTTCTGACCGAATTAGCTCAGATGTTTTCTTTATCAGACATTGTTACTGGCATATAATTATTGTCCCCCGCTTTCACGAAAGCGAAGGGACATTAAATCTCATTCGTCTGTCAGTCTGTCCGTCTGTCACAAAAACTTTAACCTTGTTCATAACTTTTGAATAAGAAGAGATAAGGCTTTCATATTTCACATGTTCATTACATGTGACAAGACCTTTCTAAATATTCTATGATGTTTGACCCCGTGACCTTGACCTTGAAGTTTGACCTACTTTTCAAAAATTTTAACATCACTTTAAATTGGTCATAGCTTTTGAAGTGAAAAGACAGGGCTTTCATATTACACATGTATATCACCTGTGACAAGACCTTTCTAAATATACTAAAGATTTTTGACCCTGTAACCTTGACCATGAAGTTTGACCTACTTTTCAAAAATGTTATTTTTCCTTATAACTTTTGATTGAGAAGAGATAGGGCTTTCATATTTGCTATGTGCATTACCTGTGACAAGATGTTTCCGAGCATTCTATGATTTTTTGACCCCTTGACCTTGACCTTTATGTTTGACCTAATTTTCAAAAAAAAAAAACCGATAGTGATTACTTTTGAATGACATATGATAGGGCGTTCATATTTGACTCAATATGCCATAAATAATGGCATCTCACCCACTAAGACACCGAAAGCTGGGGACCACAATTCTTTGAAGAATAGAAATATAATACTATGGAATTCAAATAGCACACTATCGCACCATGGAGGTTTTGGTCGATAGCATTACGATGGCGATGGCACGTTGGAGCAATAGCACGATGATGCGATGACATGATGGTGAAGACGTGAGAAACGAAAAAGGTAAAGATAATGAACAGTGATCGATCTATAAAAAATCTACAAACAATACAAATCTGTGTACAGACCAAAAAAACACAGCCCCCTGGAAATTCAAGAGGTAGTATCAGGGGCCTGAAAGGAGTAAGCATCCTTTGTTGACCGGTGTCGCATAATATTTGGTCCGCCTCGTTTAAAGGTTCGGGCAGGGACACCGGTCACTACCGCCGTAAGCCTTGATTATTGTTCAGGTAAACGGAATATTCCGTAGTCAAATTTAGTATAAAAACAAAGGCCTAACAATCGGTATGAAAATTGTCAGCCAAAAATACGACCCAATGATAGGTTATACATGTATTTGCTAACATGGTCATTATAACTAATTATAATTATACTTCTGTCGCCAATTAAAAGACCGGGGCTCCCTGTACTTAGGACCATTTAAGATTATTGCTTTTAGGTCGTCATTATCAACTACTATGTATATTAACATAACCGGTAATGGCGTGTCCAGCGGGACTGTAGTTGAAAGAAGAAGAGCAAGAACACTTAAAAGGATTTTGTTTTAAATGTTCAACATTAGGCACTGTATTTCGTTAAAGTAATTTTTTTATGTTGTAAGGTCGAGCACTGGCAAATTCCAGGATTTAGACAGTAAAATAGCTTCTATTTTTTTTAAATATTGCTTGCCAGATAATTTTAGGAAGTAGACCCCCCTCCCCCTCCACACTTTGGTCAGTTTAGGGTTTGCTAATGATTACAGCATCTGTTCCTTTGTTGGCAAATTTAAGTTCAAAGAACCGACGGGTTAATAAATAATAACCCGATACTAAATCAGAATTACGTACCGGGTATTACCTTCCGTCACATGTGGTGGCTTAAAGAACCTGTGCTTGGCAACATTCAAATAATCACAAACGCTAGCTTGTGTTTCGCAGTTAAGGAATCCAAGTATGGACTTGCTTTATCTACTTCAAATTGTCAATTCAAAATTTCAAGGGAGCTGAGTAAAGTTGAGTGCGAATGTGAAGACCTAATTGTTTATTAACGTAAGGTAAAAGTGAATCAAAAGAAACATCAAGTATATTTGGTCTTTTATATTATCAATATCCATGACTACGCCTACGTCTAGACAATGAAACGATGCTCTGTAGCATCATCGTGTTATGGCATCGCATCATCGTGCTATCGCACCGTCATGTCATGAATGTATCGACGAGATTTTTAAATATTTTTTTTTGAATTTTTACTACATAATCATTACAACCCTGCCCTAACACCAGAACCCCTGACCAAGGGGCCATGATATTTACAATGTTGGAAGAGGCACCCTTCCTCGTCATAACTTTGCATTTAGTTTGTTTGCTTAATACCCAGGAGCAGAGGAGAAGATTTTTTTAAAGAAATAATGGATTTTCACTATATATTCAACAGGCCCCGTCCTAGAAACAGAACCCCTAATCCTAAGGCCATGAATTTTACAATTTTGGTAGAGGGCTCAATGCTTATTACAATCATGCCAACAGTTTGACTGCTTGATGTCCATGCAGGAGTTAAGAAGAAGATTTGTATCGATTGCATTAATTTTGATGATTTTAGCCCCACCCCCAGGCCCCGGGGGCAGGGGCCATGAATTTCACAATTTTTACTCCCCTTCACCCATAGATGCTATATGCCAAAATTGGTTGAAATTGGTCAAAGCTGAAAGTGTTTAAATGTTAACACACGACGGACGACGCACGACGACGGACACAAAACAGATAACAATATGTCACCGGAGTAAAAAGAAATGTTAATAAAGAGAAAATCCAATATTTTGTAGTTGAATATGGAATTTATTTCAATCGGGTGACAGGATTTTTTCAAAAAATATTTTCACTCGTGCTTCGCACTTGTGAATATACATAAAAAAAAATACTCTCCTACTCGTGAATTAAATTCCAAATCAAACTACAGAACATTGAATATCCTCTATTTCGTTTTTTTTTTCTCGTTTTGTTTTTATACAGAGAAACAATGCTGTGGCGACAATGTCCCTATCAACGTACGATATACAGTCAATCACACCTATACCAAAGAAAGACTGGAGCAAGTACACCATTGACCCCAGTGACAGGGACGGAGGTATATATTACAATAGATCATAGATTAAAATACGGAGACGTTATCGTTTTTCAACAGGGAAATCCAACCCACCCACCCCCCAAAAAATGAAGAGCATAAATACAGTGCCTGAAGAAAGAAGCAAAAATTAAAAAGAGAAAAATAAGTTAAAAACTCTCCAAACTACAAAAAACTATTAATTTTGTGGGAAAGAGGAGCCCCACCCCCACCCCCCGAGATTACGTTCCTGGAATAAGTAATTCTTGCTAGAGTGCATATTTTATGACGCTAAATCATTTGTACTGCATGCGTTGTATTGTTTTATGCATATATTTCTTGCATTGTTAAATGTTTCAGTAACAAATATGGCTTGGCGCTTGTGGTATGAAAGGAATTTTGAATGTACTTTGTTTTTTTTTATTCCCTAAGGCGTTCATCTCAGGCAATATCCATTTAAGAGCGTGCGACAGCCAGATAACGCCAAAGTGATCACGATCGGTCGTAAGAGCTTCCTGATAACCGCGGACGAGGGGCGGACGACGGACTTTACCTCTGCCCATGATGGATTTGTCTGGTCAGATCACAGCTTGGCAGATGTTTTAACCAGACGTAAAGCAATTTACTTCGTATTTTAATAAGAGCTGTTTTAAGTCTCTATTTGATTACGTTTGCTGTTCAGTACATAGGCGTCGGAAGCAGATTGAAAGTGGGAGGTGGAGCTAATTGAAAGAGAAAAATTTCAAACCTGAATAAACTTGATAAACCAAAAAAAAAAGGGGGGGAATAGAAAATTGCCCAAACCCGAAAATCGTAAGGGGGGGGGGGGGTTACGATCGAACTTCTTTCAGTACCAATTTTTTTTTCAAATGCTACCACTTACCTTTCTTTGATTACACCGCAATGTGCCTGTTTGAAAGTGGGGGGGGGGGGGGGGTGTTAAACCTACGCCCCAATGTTCAATGCCTATATTATGTCTATCTTTGCAAAAAAGTAGGGGGGGGGGCTAAGCCCCCCCCCCCCCGGTTCCGACGCCTATACAGTAGATACATGTTTAAAACTTCATATCAAACTAGATTGTTATGTACAAGTAATAGCTTTTCAAAAGTTATTTCCCTTGGCCGCCATCTCTTTGGGAAAAAAACCCCACAGAATTCCCATGGCCTTTATAACTTTCAAGTTTGTAACTTTATCTTCTGACTTCATAATTACGAAAGCCTATTAAGATCAAACTACGGTAAAAAAAAAAAAATTAAAAGGCGTTATAACGCCTTTTCAAAAGGCGTTATAACGCGAAAAAAGGCGTAATAACGCCTTTTGAAAAGGCGTTATAACGCGGAAAAAGGCGTAATAACGCGAAAAAAAGCGTTATTACGCCTTTCCAAAAGGCGTTATTACGCCTTTCTAAAAGGCGTTATAACGCCTTTATAAAAGGCGTTATTACGCCTTTCCTAAAGGCGTTATTACGCCTTTTCAAAAGGCGTTATTACGCCTTTTAAAAAAGGCGTTATAACGCCTTTCCAAAAGGCGTTATTACGCCTTTCCAAAAGGCGTTATTACGCCTTTCTAAAAGGCGTTATAACGCCTTTCTAAAAGGCGTTATCACGCCTTTTTAAAAGGCATTATTACGCCTTTCAAAGAGGCGTTATTATGCCTTTTGAAGGGCCATTATTATGTCTTTGACAGGCCCGTGATTTTAAAGTGGGGGGGGGGGTGTCCCATAAAATTGACAAGCAAACAAAAAAAACAAGAAACCCCCCCCCCCCCACCGGAAAAAAATAAACTGCCTAAACTTGAGGGGAAACTTTTTCTAATTTTTCGGTAAAAACTTTTTTTAAATGCAATGACTTGCCCGAGTTTAACCATACTGCAACAAAATGTTAAGGGACCAAGCAATCAATTAATGATTTTTTATATTTAAACTATAGCAAGACTATTCTCTCAAAAAGTGGGGTGGGGACAACCCCCCCCCCCCCCAACTCACATTCGTACTACCGGCCTGTCTGAAAAGGAGTTGTATCTAAAAATGGAAAGGCGTTATGTTAAATAGTAAATATATGAAAGATTGAACCAAAGCCATCTTTATTCATGCAAAATTTAGATTATAGTTTTAATATTTAAAATTATATTATAAATTATAGTATTTTCTATATTCCTGCACATCTCGCAGACAGTTGTTTGCATTTTGCATGCATATTAAAAGAAGTCAACACTCTACTTTTGAAAATCCAGGATATAGGCAGAACCAGCTTTGGGCTTTGTTAGCCACATATTAAAAATTCATGTCAAATTTGAAATATTTTTCTCTCCTCTTGGTAAAAAACAGGCAAAGTATTTGCATAGGTATAATGAGCAATTAGCCTTCAACAAAATTTCTGAAATCCATACACCTTGGTAGAAGCGTCTGGCATCAGAGAAGGACTAAGTTGGTTTAACACTGAAAATATTTTACACATTTAAACATCTTTTTTCCTAGAAATCTAATTATAATCAGCCCCCAGGGTGGGCTAAGTAAGTCATGTATTGAAAAAAAAGAGGCTTAATAACGCCTTTTGAAAACCTTTTGGAAAGGCGTAATAACAACTTTTGGAAAGGCGTAATAACGCCTTTTAGAAAGGCGTAATAACGCCTTTTTAAAAGGCGTAATAACGCCTTTTGGAAAGGCATAATAACGCCTTTTGGAATTTCGTAAAAACGCCTTTTAGAAAGGCGTAATACCGCCTTTTGGAAAGGCGTTATAACGCCTTTTGAAAAGGCGTAATAACGCCTTTTTGGAAAGGCGTAATAACGCCTTTTGGAAAGGCGTAATAACGCCTTTTTGCGTTATAACGCCTTTTGGAAAGGCGTAATTACGCCTTTATTTGCGTTATTACGCCTTTATTTGCGTTATTACGCCTTTTTTCGCGTTATAACGCCTTTTGAAAAGGCGTTATAACGCCTTTTAATTATTTTTTTTTACCATAGTTTGATCCTAATAGGCTTTCGTACATAATAACCGCAACATCTTGTATTTTGAGTGATCCGGGATTGGGCTACCCACACATTGAAAGAATAAAAAATTAAACACAGTAAATTTGTAGCATGCATGTCCTAATGTTTGGTAATGTCAAGAAGAGAAATATTCAGTTTTTTTTCCATATTGACCTTTTGGTTGGCACTGCAATGGGAAATTACTAGCAAAGTGTGGATTGGACTATTAGTTTTAGATTCTCTGACGTCTAAAACCTCGGTCGTAGAGCTTCAGTTCTGCAGCAAAAACTTTTATATGAAAGATCATACTCCTGTCAAAATTTTCAAGATTGTTCGAATGGCGTGATTGGTAGTTTCAAAATAATTTTTTAGCAAAAAAATATATTATTTTCAAATAAGTTTAACCTTGACACCTCCCCCCGACTGACGATCAGCAAATAAAAAGATGTTGTTGTTGGGTTTTTTTTTTTCAGTCCTCCGTGATTTTTTTTCTTTTTAACTAACAATGGAGAGATGATCATGATTACTTTCATTTCAGAGAACAAGTTTGACACCACAGTTATAAATAATGACACATTTATAGAGGCTCTTAAATTGGATAATAAAGCTGGTGAGTAGTTTTAATTTGACTCGTTCAAGAAAATAAATGGGGAAAAGAGGAAATCTACAGTTTAAAAAAAAACACATTCGATAAATCCTATTTACGAAATATGTACAGCTGATATAATGAAAAATGAAAATGGCTTAAATTTTTTCCATTTTTTACGACAGGAGAATGTGACAAATACATAAATCAAGTCTTTTGCATTATGTCAGATTAACTTAATGCGGAGTTTTAATATTTTTCATTCATACACAACAAAATTTCTACTTTTCTTAAGTATTAAGGATAAAGTTTACTTTGTGAAAGTGCAAGGATGTGCCAATCAAACGCGTCCCGAAATTCGTAGTTTCAACACTTTCCAGATAAAATAAGTTTTTTTTATTATATTTCCGTGTGAAATGTTATAGAACCATATAAGTCATGATATTATACAGAAAATTTGAGAAAATATTAACTATTCTATTGCATACTGGCAAAATTATGGGGGATGTTAAAGTTATATATTGACGAAATTATAAAGGGGTTAACCCTCAACCAACCCCAACCCCCAGTTCCTACGCGCTTGCTCTTGTAACACATTTTGTACAGGTAGACTAACCTTGAGCACAATCGACGGTCTGAATTTATTTACTGGAAAAATGGATGAAGTCAATCATTTTGGTGGCAGAGGATTCTCCATTTGGAAGACGTCAGATTTGTCGCTAGTGTTTGACTCCGGTGATGAAATAGAGAAAGAACTGGCCAATTCCATAAAAGTTGTGTTCAATACAGACTGTATTAAAAACACAATAACCTACCAGGGACCAGAAAATTTAAGAGACACACAGTCCGATAATTATGTAAGTTGTACTGATTCTACTATTATTTTTCCTCAGAGTGATTAAACTGGACACTGGGCAGCATATACTCAGTATTCAGGCCCTTCGCAACGGTTTCAAAAGTGGGGGGAGGGAGGGAGGGGCAACTTCCCCAAAAAAAATCTAACAAGCAAAAAAAATAAATAAATAAACAAACAAACAAAAACACCCCCCCCCCAAACTGTTCAGAAGTGGGGGGGGGGGGAACTTCCCAAAATTATCTGACAAGCAAAAAAAGAAAAAAAAGCTAATTTACCATCCAAATCCTGGAATATGCCAGAACACGACCTTGCAACATCAAAAAGTGGGGGGGGGGGAGCATCTAAAGGAAAATTTTCCATAGCAAAATTCTATACTCAGAAAAAAAGTGTCCCCCCCCCCCAACCGCATTCTACAGGCCTAGTATTGTCTACATATCTATTTGATATCAAAGAAATAGGAGGATTACAACAAATAGCTTACTATCATCTCATAAAAAAGATTGAAATGTTAAATTCTTTTAAATTTGTTTTGAAAGTACACAAATGTTTTTAGATGTAATGGTCTTTTCTAGGGTTCTAGCATAACCAATATGCAGCTTGCGACTTCAAATGGGGGCATTTATTGGTAAAAGATTCATTTAGAAATAAACACATGTAATAACACTTCATGTTTCACCAACTTAAGTTGTGCACCCCCCCCCCCCCCTTCCACTGAAATTCTTCCTGGTCTGCATTTATTTTGCATACAATCTATATTGTTTGTATTATTGTAATTTTCAGGGTCCAAAAGTTGGTTCTTTAGATTATATTAAGGATTATGATCAGGAGTACATTGTAGTTGGCAGTGAAACAACAGGAACAATCTTCGTCTACTCAGTGAATTCCACGTCTGGTACCCCCGAGCCTCAGTTTGAAACTGCTTATAGGACGGGGGACACAGACTTTGTGTGGAGTGAGCTGTATGAAATGGGAACTGCAGGGGATGCTGGACTGTCTGCTGTGGGGTTAGTGTTTACTGTAACACCTGGCAGATTGCAATGATTGTTTTGTAGAAATGTAGGGATAAAATATGACATATTTACACATTTCATCATAGTACATTTGTGATACCTGCATTGCATACAATAAAGGATTACTTTGTCCATCTGTTTATCTGGGAAGAATTTCACTTTTAAACATGTTAGAATTCAATTCACTCAGATAACATTTCTTCAGAAGACCTTTTGAAGTCATTAATTACAGAAAAATACAATATTGTTAGAGTTCAAGGCAAAATTAAGAGTCAAGGTCACAGCATACACTCTAGTTTGAAATTTCATAGCTGCAGAACTGTAGCTCCCCGAAAATAAAATATTGACAGTCCAGAGAGTTACAGTGCCACTGATTTAAAAAAAAAAACTGCATATTAATGGCACACAAAAAGTTGCACCTGACTCTGGATTTATTTCTCTGAATTCTTACCTCAACTGCTCAAAAGCTCGATTTCAAAAAAATTGTTAGACCTCTATCAACTACTCTTGTAATTGACATCTGCATGAAGCGCATTTGGCCGAATTGTCATGCCTTCCAAAATGGCAGTATAAATAGGCAAGACATTGGATGGTCTCAATTTCAGGCCCAGGAGGGCTATTAACAATAGTTATGGGACAGGGATGGGGTAATTGAAAAAAGTATTTGTAATATGGGAAATGTTTTAATGTGAAACTAGTAAAAAAAATATGTTAGGAACACACAGTTAGTAATATTCTGATGGCAGTTTAAATGTAAGGAGAAATAAATCAAGAAACAGCGCACTTTTTTGTGCACTACAAATATACACTTTTTACAGTGGGTGTCACTGTAGCTCTCTGGTTGTTCATCCCAATTCTTTCAGACCAGCAAGCTACAGATCTGCAGCTAGAAATTTCACATCCATAAGCAAAACTACCAAAGGAAAATAAAACTTCTGTACTTTATAAGAGATACTACGAAGGTTGTTCGGAAAGTTTGTGGACTACCGTCATAACTTTTTTACTTAATGTCATATTATATCCAAATTTGGAAGAAATATTTCAACAGTAAATTTAAATGATGTATATTAAAAATTTTTAAAATATCATGGTTTATTTCAAACTTATCTATAGACTTAAAAAATGCGAAAATCGGATCACGGAGCAGGTCAAAATTTCGTAATTTACAATCAAGACACTAAATAATGTCTGAGGTCATATCTTCTGTAAAATGAAACAAAATCAGAAAAATTCTACACATTCAAATTAAAAATTGTTTTATCTATTCTAATTCCAAATTTTGACTTAATACTTTGCTTCGTTGAAAAGAAATCAGTTTCAGAAGATATGTAGTCCTCCTTGAAAAAGCCAAAAAAGATGACATCGTAGAACGTCATGGAGCAGCAGTTAACCATACAATTTTGTGTTGTACTCTGGAAAACCCCATAAAAAACTCAAAAAATGCCAGAGGAAGTAGGAAATATGTCAAAAGTGAGCCATGCATGTGTGTGTACATGGTACAAGCTATTTGAATGATAGACTACTCTGCTTAGACGATGGTGATCTCTGAGAAAACGTATTATCTGTAAAAATCTCAAAAACATTGAAAAGTTAATAATGTTATGTTAATTAAGAGTTTGGTGCTTCACAGATGCTGATCTTGTGAAAGCACACTTATGCAGTGAAAAAAATATAACATTGACAAACAAAATAATGCTACTTGGACAATTGTTCGCAAAATAGATTTCAAGTGATAGAGAAAAGTTTTCAATGAGTGCACTGGTATTGGTCAATACTGTGTGAAATGTATAGGGATAGTATTTTTGAGAACCTAATGTCGGTATGTTTATGACATTACAGTGTTGTTGAGTTTGCTCCGTGGTTACAAAACGTGTTGATTTTAAAATTAAATAACATGAATTCTATTAAATCACATGGAATGAAACTTCACACTTAAATAAAATAAATATGCTCATTTTAAATTTCTTGAAGATAGTATAACGAAGATTGGCATAGTCCACGAACAACCCTCATACACCCTGTAATGAGCTTACTTCTACTTCATTTTGTAATAATGTTTATTAATGAACAGGCACTTCATCTTACCAAAATCAGTGGTGATATTAATTCATCAATTTTTACAAAACTAAAAAAAATTCTTTATATTTTCAGATTCATCAGCAGAGATGACAATCCTCTAAACAAAACCCTGATATATGCCATAGGACAGTATTCAGGATCTGTGACCCTATTCCAAATAGAAAACTTGTAGTTATGTAAACAATAAATAATACCGGTACTCAGCAATTAAACTGTTCTACTGTGAATGTGATATAAAGTTCATTTAATGTTCACATCTTTATTGTTGTGATTGCTTGAAACACTGTGAGCTAAAATAAAGATGAATTTTGTTCTCATTTTCCTTTAACTGTCATCCCTAATTTCTCCTGTATCTGTGTCCATGTATTTCTCTCGAACGTCTTTGATTTTCTCGTATTCAAACTCTGCCTGAACAGCACAGGACATCATGGATTGAATGTCTCTTTCTTCTAGGTCCCCAAACACATAACCATTGGCCTTGTCCACCTGCCTCATGACTCGCAGCATTGATTCTTTGTCCTGTTATAAATAATCAAGTTACTTAATTCTAAATGGTAAAACAAAAATGATAATTTGGAAAACATTACATACATCATATATGTTAGTTTGGTGAACAGTAAAACTGCCAAGGACAGTTCAAAATGAGATGTTATTGTAGCTAGGCCATTCTAGATTTTTGATGATTTTGTTCTTTTTAGGATCAAACTGACTTCTAAGATAAAAATAAGGTAATCTGTGAAACCATGTTTACTATATACATGTACATGTTAAATACTGAAATACTTTACACATAAAATTAATAAATTTGAATTAAAGTATAAAACTGAGCACTTTCAAATGCATTTCAGAAGTAGTGCACAAAATGTTACGATTAAAATTTCTACATATTAAAAGGTTGAAAAGAATAAAATATTGTAAGGATGACTCAAAAAGATTTAATATTCTGTCATTGATCTTTACCTCTACATTGAGTGGAACAAATGAGACCAGACTGTAGTCTTGTACTAGATCAATCAGAGCTGAATTTAATTTCTTATACTTCTGCAGTGATTTGTCAGCCTAAAAAACAATTTTATATGTATACAACATGTGATAGCAGTGTTTCAGCAGTCTTCATAATTTTTTCCAGAAAAGTTAAAAAAAAAAAAACCTAAATATTGTATCACTAACTTTAAATTCATCCAATAGATAGCCAAGTTCCAACACATCTGTATAAAAATCCAGGTTGAATGAGAGCTTTCCAAACTTCTCTATCAAGTCACATTTTGACAGAACATTAACATGTGGAAGTTCTAGCTGTAGCATGGTAGACAGAGAAGTTAATAACACTGAGATGAACTTTGATGCATCACTACAATAATGAGAATCGACAAGATGCACAGCTACAAGGCGATAGTCCCATTTCTGCAACCTAGCTAGAATATTGCGAACACATTTGTAATGTGTGTATAATTCAACTTGTCCTGGGAAATCGAACAACAAGTACTTGTTTTTAAGTTTTGCTAGCTCATTCTGGAGCCAATCAATGTTTTGCTCCAAGTATTCCATGCAATAGATAAGGCCACCATTAGGTCCGAGTTTTAAGGAATCCATGACATCAGAGAGGGTTATTAAAGTCGATATATCTACGTCACATTTGTAGGGAAGATGGTCATTAGCAGGATCTAGGTTGATGACTGCCACCTCTCTTCCAAAGGCCGATAAAAATTCGGACATGCCATGACAATAGGTGGTTTTTCCAGATCCTGGAGGCCCAATAACTACTTGTCCGAACATTGTGTAAAACCTTTAAACACAAAAATATGTATTATGCCTACATCATTCCTGATTTATACGCGAACTAGAGGTATATACCTCCAAACTACAAACTACCCTTTCCATGAAAGTGAAAGTACATTGTAATACGTGAAACTAAACGATAGCTTGTTTATTTCCGAATAAAAAAAAGACATCCCTGGACACTGACAATATAACTTGTATAGAACTTATTGAAAAAAAATTATTCAAAAATTTTAGGTTAAAATGTCTTTTGATTATCCACCTAAAAATATATATAATGTCGGATATAAGTAAATATGAAAATGAAAGTAGGTGTTTAGGCAGCCAGATGGAGGAGGTATATTTACTTATAGAAACAGGCTATGAGACCGTGGTCACATTTAACTCAAAACGAGGCTATTGCTCACCGGAATGGGTTCTCTCATCTATTTTCCCCTAATCATATCCGGTTATAATGTAAGCCTAACGTTTCCGTGCAAAATTATGAAATTATTTTACTTGTATCAAGCCTTAAATTTAGACCTTAAATATAGACTTTAGTTCTGTCTTTAGGGCCATGGAGCAGTGAGGGTTCTGAAGCATTGTTAACAGATTTTAAAATGCAGAAGGCAGGTATGATTAAAATTGACTAAAAAATATATAACCATATTTCCAGGGACCTACTAGTATATAGGTCCCTGATATTAATTATTTCATTATTAAAAAGAAAATGTCCAGTTTACAAATGAGGAAAATATGACAACACACTTTGACACCTATGAACAGACAAACATACAGGGTCTTATGTTTACAACACTGTAGCAAGAGACCATTGGCATAAAACAGTCTTAAACATGCATGGTCTCATGTTTACAGACTTAGCATGAGACCATTGACATAAAACACTCTTAAACGTGGATGGTCTCATGTTTACAAACTGTAGCATGAGACCATAGACATAAAACAGTCATAAACACACATGGTCTCATGTTTACAATACTGTAGCATGAGACCATAGACATATAACAGTCACAAACACACATGGTCTCATGTTTACAAACTGTAGCATGAGACCATTGACATATAACAGTCACAAACACACATGGTCTCATGTTTTCAAACTGTAGCATGAGACCATTGACATATAACAGTCACAAACACACATGGTCTCATGTTTACAAACTGTAGCATGAGACCATAGACATAAAACAGTCTTAAATATGCATGGTCTCATGTTTACAAACTGTAGCATGAGACCATAGACATATAACAGTCACAAACACACATGGTCTCACGTTTACAAACTGTAGCATGAGACCATAGACATAAAACAGTCTTAAACATGCATGGTCTCATGTTTACAAACTGTAGCATGAGACCATAGACATATAACAGTCACAAACACACATGGTCTCATGTTTACAAACTGTAGCATGAGACCATTGATATATAACAGTCACAAACACACATGGTCTCATGTTTTCAAACTGTAGCATGAGACCATAGACATATAACAGTCACAAACACACATGGTCTCATGTTTACAAACTGTAGCATGAGACCATAGACATAAAACAGTCTTAAACATGCATGGTCTCATGTTTACAAACTGTAGCATGAGACCATAGACATATAACAGTCACAAACACACATGGTCTCATGTTTACAAACTGTAGCATGAGACCATAGACATAAAACAGTCTTAAACATGCATGGTCTCATGTTTTCAAACTGTAGCATGAGAACCATAGACATATAACAGTCACAAACACACATGGTCTCATGTTTACAAACTGTAGCATGAGACCATTGACATATTACAGTCACAAACACACATGGTCTCATGTTTTCAAACTGTAGCATGAGACCATAGACATATAACAGTCACAAACACACATGGTCTCATGTTTACAAACTGTAGCATGAGACCATTGACATATAACAGTCACAAACATGCATGGTCTCATGTTTAAGATACTGTAGCATGAGACCATTGACATATAACAGTCACAAACATGCATGGTCTCATGTTTACAAACTGTAGCATGAGACCATTGACATATAACAGTCACAAACACTCATAGTCTCATGTTTACAAACTGTAGCATTAGACCATTGACATATAACAGTCACAAACACACATGGTCTCATGTTTACAATACTGTAGCATGAGACCATAAACATAAAACAGTCACAAACACACATGGTCTCATGTTTACAAACTGTAGCATGAGACCATTGACATATAACACTCACAAATACACATGGTCTCATGTTTACAATACTGTAGCATGAGACCATTGACATATAACAGTCACAAACACACATGGTCTCATGTTTTCAAACTGTAGCATGAGACCATTGACATATAACAGTCACAAACACACATGGTCTCATGTTTACAAACTGTAGCATGAGACCATTGACATATAACAGTCACAAACACACATGGTCTCATATTTATAATACTGTAGCATGAGACCATAGACATGAAATAGTCTTAAACATGCATGGTCTCATGTTTACAAACTGTAGCATGAGACCATAGACATATAACAGTCACAAACACACATGGTCTCATGTTTACAATACTGTAGCATGAGACCATTGACATATAACAGTCACAAACATGCATGGTCTCATGTTTACAAACTGTAGCATGAGACCATAGACATAAAACAGTCACAAATACACATGGTCTCATGTTTACAATACTGTAGAATGAGACCATTGACATATAACAGTCAAAAACACACATGGTCTCATGTATACAAGCTGTAGCATGAGACCATTGACATATAACAGTCACAAACACACATGGTCTCATGTTTACAAACTGTAGCATGAGACCATTGACATATAACACTCACAAATACACATGGTCTCATGTTTACAATACTGTAGCATGAGACCATTGACATATAACAGTCACAAACACACATGGTCTCATGTTTTCAAACTGTAGCATGAGACCATTGACATATAACAGTCACAAACACACATGGTCTCATGTTTACAAACTGTAGCATGAGACCATTGACATATAACAGTCACAAACACACATGGTCTCATGTTTACAAACTGTAGCATGAGACCATTGACATATAACAGTCACAAACACACATGGCCTCATGTTTACAAACTGTAGAATGAGACCATTGACATATAACAGTCACAAACACACATGGTCTCATGTTTACAATACTGTAGCATGAGACCATTGACATATAACAGTCACAAACATGCATGGTCTCATGTTTACAAACTGTAGCATGAGACCATAGACATAAAACAGTCACAAATACACATGGTCTCATGTTTACAATACTGTAGAATGAGACCATTGACATATAACAGTCACAAACACACATGGTCTCATGTATACAAGCTGTAGCATGAGACCATTGACATATAACAGTCACAAACACACATGGTCTCATGTTTACAAACTGTAGCATGAGACCATTGACATATAACAGTCACAAACACACATGGTCTCATGTTTACAATACTGTAGCATGAGACTATTGACATGTAACAGTCACTTTAAATCATGATATCATTTGAAATGCTAACTTATAGAAGTAGTATTATTATATTTGTTCTGTTTAATTTCAGATGTTTTGCTGGTTTTCAAGTCATGGAGTCCCTTGAGTTACCAAATGTGCCATTCACTGTTTTTTAAGAACATAATTTAGATAAGGTAATTAAATAATTGTGAGATTGATATTTGCATTTTGCAAAGTATGTCTATTTTATACACTGAATATTGAGAATTTTATTGGCACATACTCTATACTTTCTTCAGCACCTAATTCATTATAAATGAAAATGTTGTAAATTAGAGCATTATTGTCTCAAGATGAACCCTTTGTCTTTCCAGACTTCAGAATTTTATGTCAATTGACTGCACTTGAATTGTCATACAGGTATGTACTGAAAATTCAATGTCAATACCGGTATATACAAGAGCTGTAATTTATGGACAACTTAAAGGTCTACGCAAGGAAATAGCCAATCAAATTGAACTTAGTTAATTATAGTTCTATATATTTAGAGACAATTCCTTTTTTTTTTTTTATTTTCGGCATCATTTTTAGGCCTACAGTATTAATTTTGGACTCATGTATTAGGTATATCATATCTTTAGCACAATTGTCCCAGTGAATTAAAGGGAACTCATTTTTAGGTGTGCATGAAGCAATTTCCTGGATGGTGTGTAAGTCTAGATCTGTTTGTCAACATGTGAAATCTACATGTATTTCTGGGTAGGTATGTTTACATTCAACTTTTTTTCTTAAAAGTCGCATAAGGCTTATTTTTTTCTGATCTCAAATTTTTGTTTAAGTATTAATCTTTATTATCTCTTTCATGACTTATCTGCTGAGAGTCTAGTTAATTAATTTATTAATTAAAGCTATATAGTAACATATAGTGAAATTTTTTCCTTCTGTGAGACCTAAAGAGTAACAGGTAACTCTCATTTTGACTGCAATTTCTCTGATTTCAGGAGTAGTCTCCCCTGTTACAGATCAATAATGGTGGATATACAATGTGGGATGCAGTCTGGTCATCAAGAGAGAGTTTTGACACCCGTATACCTGTATTTCTACCAATCACCTCCGTAACCTTTGTTGTGTTCATCAGACAGGTAAGAAAAACAAGAAAATAAATTAGAATAATTTTAATGAGATAAATGATAAAAAATCAAACATATTTACAAGTACAGACTCCCTTGTAAAAGAAAATGTCACATTTGACATGTACAATTTTATACATCATTTACATATCCACATTTTCCCCATTTACACAGTTGAATAGAATCAGTGCATAATAAAACATAGCAACAATTATTACCATACAGTCTTACAACTTTCATTTTAATTTTGGATCTGTTGGTGATTTACTGTAAGTGTCTTTAGATTTTTTATCGTACAGCTGATATCTTTTAGATGTAAAGTATTTTCTTTGAGATTTATATTTTAACAGTTTTTGTTTCATTTTAAAGTAATTTTGCTTATTTTGTTGTTGTTTTAGATGATGGACCACTCTACTTCCTTTTACAACAGGTGCCCCTGCAGATTCACGAAGTTCCAATGTTGAGTTTCC